TTAGGCAGCTGGTTTCCTGGGCTGGGGGTGGTCACATGGGGAACCCTGCCGCAAACCTCTGCCCACCTCATCCAGGCCCGGCCCCTCCCCGCTTCCCCACAGGGACCGGGACCGGGACCGTGAGCGGGAGCGCAGGGAACGAAGCCGCGAGCGAGACAAGGAGCGAGAACGGCGACGCTCCCGCTCTCGGGACCGGCGGCGGCGCTCACGGAGTCGCGACAAGGAGGAGCGGAGGCGCTCCAGGGAGCGGAGCAAGGACAAGGACCGGGAACGGAAGCGGCGAAGTAGCCGGAGCCGAGAACGGGCACGACGGGAGCGCGAGCGCAAGGAGGAGCTGCGTGGCGGCGGCGGTGGCGGTGACATGGCGGAGCCCTCTGAGGCCGGTGATGCGCCCCCTGACGATGGGCCTCCTGGGGAGCTGGGTCCTGATGGCCCTGATGGTCCAGAGGAGAAGGGTCGGGATCGTGACCGGGAACGACGTCGGAGCCACCGGAGCGAGCGAGAGCGGCGTCGGGACCGCGATCGAGACCGGGATCGCGAGCACAAGCGGGGGGAGCGGGGTGGTGAACGGGGCAGGGATGAGGCCCGAGGTGGGGGTGGTGGTGGCCAGGACAACGGGCTGGAGGGTCTGGGCAACGAAAGCCGAGACATGTACATGGAGTCTGAGGGAGGTGATGGGTATCTTGCTCCAGAGAACGGGTATTTGATGGAGGCTGCACCAGAGTGAAGAGGGCCTCCCCCACTGTTTTATTTGGACGTGTTCCTACCCACCCATTTGCTGTCATCCTCTCCCCCAATCTTCTTGGCCACCACCTAAGTTTGCCAGCCAAGGGTAGGAGTCTCCTTATTTGTTCTGGCCCCTTGGATTTAAAAATAAAATTAATTTCCTGTTGATAATGAGCACCTTGGTTTCTTTTTCACTGCTCTTTGCCTTCCTCAGAAGGTCATCACCTGACTGTTGATAGCTCTACTTTGGTTGTGTCCTGGGCCTGCTGAGAACTTGGGCTTTGTGACCTAAGGCTGGGGCTACCCGGACTATGCCAGACGTTAAAATGGAATAAGGAGGTGCTCTGAGGGTTCCTTCTGTTAGGGTTTTTGATCCTTTTGTGATTTTTTTTTTTTTTAAACATCTTCCATACATTCCCTGGGGCGCCATCCCTACTCAGGTCTTGGTGGCTGGATAGGGCTCTAGACACTTGATTGGTGGAAGCTGCAAGTTTGTTTGAAAGGGAAGCTGAGTTGTAGAGTGGGGAAAGGGCTGAGGAGATGAAGTAGGAGCACAGGCTGCAGAACATCTGCAGGAGGGGCAAAGGGCCTGCGATTCATGATAGGAAGTTGACCGTGAGTATCTTCATACTTGCCAGTGACAGTGGAAGATTAACAAGAAATAGGAGAGGTTCTGTCAGCAGAGGAGATGGCAGCCATTTACAGACGATCAGATAAGGTGATGGTGACAACCCTTAAGTGTGGTGGCTGCTTGAGAAGGAAGCCAGTCAGCTTTGCAGAACCCCAGGGGGGCTCGAGACAACTGCAAGTACAATAAACGTAGCTGACTCCACAATCTGCCCGGAACAGTTGCCCTGCATTTCAGCACTCAGGATGCCTAGGAATTGGGCATTTTCAGCCTAGGCAATTTTGGGACCTATTTTTGTCTTTGAGAAGTTTCTAAGTCTAAAGGCAAACTTCGCCTGATAACCCAAAGACAGCCTGTCTATTAAATCTAGCCCAAGGATGATGCTTTTTAACTGCCTCAGTCTTCATAAACATACAAAGATGACAGCCAATTGAGAAAATTCGGCAGCAGGAGACCACAAGCTAGATGGACACCTGGTCCTGGAAGGAAGAACTTTGGGAGTAAAAAAGAAGTTGATACCTCTAGTATATCGTCATAGGTACCAGGATACTGCACCTGAACTTCCGTAATTGTGAATAAGTGTTTTGGACTAGTGTGGCACAGGCTATTTACATAAAGACTAGACAAAATCTGTAAAAGCAGCTTGTTGAAGACACTGGATAGCTTGGCTTGAGGGTGTCTGATGCCTAAGAAAAGGAGAGCACACAGGTGAAATTCATATATACTGCCCCTTTTTCCTTGAGGGCATTTGCTAGTTTAGTGTTGGGGGGATGGACTCAAAAGTGGCAGTCCACTGGGCTGAATTCACACAGGATGGACTGCATAGCTTGGACTTGAGGGCAGAATTTCCAGATGGGCACCAAGCCCCCAGATGTATGTGCAATTTTCCTTCAAGGCATTTGCCAGCTGCTACCTTGCTTGTCCGTGCAAGGCCCTCCAAAGGACTCATCAGAAAGCAGTAGCCAGAGACTACTGAGGTGGCAGCAGCCTTGCAGTTCTGGGGGAAGCAGGTTGGGGTTCACACCCTGTAGGGGTAGTGGCCATGCTGGAGATCCCCAGAGTTCCACCATATTGGAGGAAGGCCACAAGTGAAACAGACTGAGCTCCTGGGATGGCTCAGCATCTATTCAAAAATCCTTAGGCATTCTAGAAAGAAAACTTGAATTGATGAAAGCCAAGGGAAAACTAGCCAAGAGAGCTGGACATTCTGATATGGGGAGTTATTAGTGAAATAACTATACATTCACAAACGAGGAAAGGATGGAGAGCTTTACCAGGTCTGCAATCTTTAAAAGTAAAAATCAAATGGAAACTTTAGAACTGAAAACAAGAAAAAGAATGTAGGTGCATTTTGCAGTTAATCACATACTACATAACCCAAAACGTCCCTGTTATAACACATAAGAGGTGCTGGGGTGGGGTTGGAGGGGGAGACAAAACTTTTTTTTTTAAAGATTTTATTTATTTATTCATGAGAGAGAGAGAGGGAGAGAGGTAGAGACATAGGCAGAGGGAGAAGCGGGCTCCATGCAGGAAGCCCAATGTGGGACTGGATCCTGGATCCCAGGATCACGCCCTGAGCCAAAGGCAGATGCTCAACCACTGAGCCATCCAGGTGTCCCAAGGGACAAAACATTCTTGAAAGTAAGAAATCTCACAATCCTTTAAGGAAGTTAACAGGATATATGTCACCAAAACAAGGGATTTATTATCTATTTATTTATGATTTTATTTATTCATGAGAGACATAGGGAGAGGGAGAAGCAGGCTCCCTGCAGGGAGCCCAATGCCGGACTTGATCCCAGGACTCTGGATCATGACCTGAGCCAAAGGCAGATGCTCAACCACTCAGCCACTCAGGTGCCCCCAAAACAGATTTAAAGGAGAGGAAACTGGATCTAATTCAGAGCAGTGGAGGAAAGTCCCAGGATGGCAGTTTCTGGAGAGGACTTGGTCCAGGCTGGAGTCAGAGGGCAAGTTTCCAAGGAGTTTCAGGATAAAAAAGGTTTAGTCACTGAACTGATGGCATTCATCATTTCACAATATACATAAATCTTCATGCTGTATGCACACCTTAGACTTCTACAGTGATGCATGTCAATTATTTCTCAGTAAACCTGGCTAAAAAAGACGTATAATGTGTTGTGACGGAAAGTTTGAAAAATTGAGAATATCGTGAAAGAAAAGCAGATTGACATCACAGGAGAAAACAGAAGGGGCTCAGGAAAGGCAATGTAATCACAGAACACTGCTTGGGCTCTTTTAGTAAGCAGTAAGTACTTAGACTTAATGGGAGCACTTTATTGATTGCCCTAAAAACTGGTAGCATAAAACTACCATGGGAAGACAGTGGAAAGGTGGTAAGAGCAGAAAATCAATATGTAATGCATTACTAACATCTAAAATTGATAAATTGAGAAATAGGTTCCTTAGATACACAAACAACTAGCAGGACTAAACATCTGTAAGTTGTTGCCTCTTGCAGTGGGGAGAATTAGGACAGGGGCTGGTGCTTCTCAGTATTAGCCCTCTGTGTTACTTGATTTTGTTTTCACTTTAAACTTATTTTTGTTGTTAAAATGAGAGAAAAAAATACTATGAAGGAGAAGGATAGACAAACCTGCTCCAGTCCTCTCAGCAAAATTCCTTTTCAGAATTCCATATCCCCAGCCAGCTGATTGTGCGGATGGATGGGCAGCAGACTTCTCTATAGTTTTGTGTACATTTCCTGCATTTCTTTGGTATCTGATACCACTGGCTACTTTTTTTTTTTTTAACCGCACTCTCTTAACGGTTCTCCCAACCTGGCCATTCTTTGTCTTCTTCCCAACTTTGAAATGTGAGTTTTTGGGACCCAGTTCTGGGTCCTTTTGGTAGTAGGTTATCTTGCCTCCAACTAATGAACACGGCTACTCACCAAGCAGGTCCAGGTATTTCCAAATCTGTCCACCTATCCTCCTGACCGCCCATCCTGGCCCAAGCCATCCCAGGATTGCTGGGAGAGTCTCATGACTGGTCCCCATGCTTCCATTGTTGATGCCCTCCAATCCAGTCCCCACAGCGGGGCTACATGGATCTTAAAATACGTATTTGAGTATCACATTTTACTTTTAGGAGTTAACATGAAGGCCAAAATCATGCATATGCCAACACACAAGGCCGTGCATAAACTATCCTGCCTACCTTTTCACCATCATGAACTATTCTAGTTTTTACTCCGTGGGCTCTTTCTGCCTGGAATATGATCCACGCCCCACCTCCCGATAATCTTCCTTCCAAGGACTCTGTGCCAGCGTCCCTCCTAGAACACCACCTCCTCACTCCCAATATCTTAACCAGCGGTAGTTGGTTGTCTACTTCCCCTGCCCCAAAGACTCAAGTTCGCTGAAGGCAGTGGGCTTGTCTGCCCTGCTCACCATGGTGTCCAGATGTTTAACATGTTTGTCCAATGAACGTGGAAAAAAGGAAGAGACAGGTATGGCGTCAAGGCAGGGAAGCTGCAAGAGTCGGGGTAGGAAACCGGACAGCCCGTGGGCGGCTGTGCGCGGGGAAGCCAGACAGGCGTGGCAGCAGGTGGGGCGGCCGCGGCGCCGGGAGCGGAGCGCACGTCTGGTCGCGCCCCCGCAGGGGCGCCCGCCGTCCGGGGCGTGGCCTCGCGCAGCCCCGCCCTCCTCGCGGAGACCCGGCAGGCGGGCGGCTAGCGGCGGCGGCGGCGCAGACATGGCTGCGCTGGTGGAGCCGCTGGGGCTGGAGCGGGGTAAGCGCGCCAGGGGGCCCTGCCCACCGGCCGCGGCCCGCGTCCGGGACCCCGGTCCCCGCCCCTTCCCGGCCAGGCCCCGGCGTGGGCGGGCAGATCGAGCGGGGGTGGGCGGGGCGGGGCGCCGCGGTTTGTGGGTGTGGGAGGGCCCGTGGGCTTAGCTGGCCCAGGAGGGGCGCCTACTGCACCGCCCTGCGTGTGTGCCTATGGGGATCCTGGGGCGCAGGGTGCGTGGCCGGCCGCAGGCCCTCCTGCTGCCGGCAACTCTGCGGGTGTCCGACTGGGATTCGGCTGCCTTTCCCGGGATCTGTGAGCGCTCGCCCTTACTCGGTTTCTGGCCGCATCTCTCCGTGCTTCTCCGCGTCTCTGACTCTGTGTCTGTGCGCCCCGCCCCCGCCCCGCAGACGTGTCCCGGGCGGTGGAGCTCCTCGAGCGGCTCCAGCGCAGCGGGGAGCTGCCCCCGCAGAAGCTGCAGGCCCTCCAGCGAGTCCTGCAGAGCCGCTTCTGCTCGGCCATCCGGGAGGTGAGAGCGGCGCGGCGCCAGGGCACAAGCGGGCGGCCGCCGTCCAGGGAGCCCAGGGACTACGCCTCCCAGCAGCGCCGGGGGCGGCCCGCCTTGGGGGGCCCGCGCTTCAGCTCCGGGGTTCTCCGGGAGTTGTAGTTTCCTCGGGCTCCGGGGGGCGGGGCCAGCCCTTGGATGGGAGGGTCTGCGGGCCTGAACTCTGGTGTGGAAGGGAGGAGGGGGCTGGTGGTTCCCTGATGCTGCTGCGTCTTCACCAGGTGTATGAGCAGCTCTACGACACGCTGGACATCACCGGCAGTGCTGAGGTCCGGGCCCACGCCACAGCCAAGGTAGGCGCCCCCCACCCCGTCACTCGTATCCACTGAACTGCGTGGTCTTAGCTTAGTAACTTCCTAAAGTCACTCATGCCTGTTTCTTCCTTCATGATTTTTGCCAAATCTGTGTACCACCGTTGCTCTTATTTACTGATATTTTAAATAATCTCATATGTTGTACTTAGATGTCATATAAAGGCATCTTTAGCAACTTCAAATGGAAACTAGTACCGAAGCCTGACAAGAAGATACCTTTTAATTATCACTTATACAATGAAATAGTATGGAACACCGAAATCTTATTAAACTATAAGTTGTATGCTGTTTCTTGCTGCTTCCTAGAGGCTCTTGGCTCTTTCCAGGCTTTGTTTTTCTCTACTAAACATCGAGATTGGCAAGTGTTGAATATTCAACACACTCACACCAAATGGAGACATTCTCTTTGACATGTCTGAAATTTCCAAAGGGAATTCAGAGAGACTTGTTACAGTGTGAGCTTGCATTGAACTGTGGCAAGTGTCGCCTGTGTGGGGAAAGTAGTCCCCCAATCGCTGGCTCTCTCTGTCCCAGATCCTCCCCTCTTCCCCACCTGCCCACCATGGAGGGGCCCTCACCTGTCAGTGCCTTCTCTCTTGCAGGCCACAGTGGCAGCCTTCACAGCCAGTGAGGGCCATGCACATCCCAGGGTAGTGGAGCTGCCCAAGACCGATGAGGGCCTGGGCTTTAACATCATGGGGGGCAAGGAGCAGAACTCCCCCATCTACATCTCCCGCGTCATCCCTGGAGGCGTGGCTGACCGCCATGGAGGCCTGAAACGTGGGGACCAGCTGCTGTCAGTGAATGGTGTGGTGAGTGGGGCCTGGGGCTGGGCTCACAGTGTATTCAAGGTAGCACAGTCCCTGCTTTTGACATTCATTCAACATTCAACCATTGAGTACTGCCTCTTTGTCTGGCCTTGTGCTGGGCACTGCTACAGACCTGGAGAGAAGTTGGCCTCAGCTGCTGTATTCAAAGACTCCCTTTTTGGTGAAGGAGATTGACTGGAATAGTCCTAATCTGGGGAGATAATAATGAGGCACAAAGCACTGTGGGAGACACATTTGGGCCCAGACCAGTATAGATCAGGGGAGTTTTTGCAGAGAAAGGAACATTTGAGTTGGGTTTTGAAGGATGAGGAGGAGTTCTCCAGGCAAATAAGATAGAGTATTACCAGCTAAGGATGTTGCAGGTAGGGACTGTGACTCTATATTCCTCCCAGCTGAACAGAAAGGGCTTAGTCTGGGGGAAGGACTGGAGCACATAGTTAATTAAAATCACTGTAGTTTAGAAATAGATGAAAGCACAACTGGATCAGTAGTTGGGGCCTCAGTCACAGCCTGAGAAGCTTGGACTTTGTCTCAAGGGTTGGGGATTGGGGAGTGATGTGGAGGCCATGAATAGGAGAAGGATAGGCTCCGCTTGGAAGTATAGAAGGATCGCTTTGGGACTCTCTAGGGGATGGACTGAAGGCAGAGACTGGAAGCCAGAAGTTCTAGGGCGGAGGCGAAGTGAAAGTCCACCGGAGAAAGGATGAGGTCTAAGCTGGGATCAGGATGGTGAGGACAGGGTAGGGAGTCAGTAAGAGGAAAGGGGCTGAGGATTAGCAGGCTTTGGGGACAGAGCGGGTAAACATGGACCTGGAGGTCTGTCTTAGAGAGGGCAGTTAGGGCTTGTCCCTACCATGAAGAATGTGGAAGGTTTTGAGGGAGGACACTGAGCCAAGAATTAACGACTCTCCCATGAGGACACGAGGCCTTGACAACTCAGGCTGGTACCAGACTCACCAACAGTAGGTCCCATTTCCAGGGTTGGGCTGGGTGTGGGTGTAGGCCCCAGGCCCAGGTGTCTGTGCACTGCCCCACAGAGTGTGGAGGGTGAGCAGCACGAGAAGGCAGTGGAGCTGCTGAAGGCAGCCCAAGGCTCGGTGAAGCTGGTGGTGCGTTACACACCCCGCGTGCTAGAGGAGATGGAGGCCCGCTTTGAGAAGATGCGCTCTGCCCGCCGGCGCCAGCAGCACCAGAGCTACTCGTGAGCCCTTTGCGACCATGCCCTGGGGCCTCCATTTCCTCTCTTATCCCCAGAGTCCCAAACTGGGCCAGTGATTTCTGGGACCTCGATGGCCACCCCCTGCCCTAGCTCCTCTCCCTGGGGTTCTGCCCATTGAACCCTGACCCAGGTTCTCACAAGCCAGTCTGGCTAAATCCCCTGGGGACTCCTAGCTCACCGTCATCCCAAGATCTGCAACCTCCTCTCTGGAATCCCTCAGTCCACTTCCCTGGGCCCTTGGCTCTGAAACCCCAGTCCTAGCTCTCTCCCATGCTTCCCCAGGCCCCCTCCCCTGAGCTTGGCTCCCTTCTCTTCACCCTCTTTGCAGGTCCTTGGAGTCTCGAGGCTGAAACCACAGATCTGGACCCTCACCCTCACCCCCTCCCCTGTACAGTATTTATTGTCACCGGCTCCTTATTTAAAGATCTTTGACCCTCACTGATTGTCTGCGTGTCTGTCCTGCATTCTGGGGTTAGAGTGTCTTGAGCTGTGGGGGAGGGAGAGAAGCTGAAGTCTAGAACAGGCCCGGAAGAAACCCTTTTGAGTCTGGGAGCAAAGGTAGAGACTTCCCCTCAAGATCTGACGGTGGAGGCTGGCCGGCTTCCGAAGCATAAGTCAAGGCGGAGGCTGGGACCTTCTCTGGGTCCGAGGGCGAGGTCATAACCGGAGACAACGCCCCCTGCCCTTAAGAGAGACTGAGGGCGAAGGCCAAGCCCCTTCTGTGGTTGGTCTGACGGAGGAGACCTGAGAAGCTGCAGAGCCGGTGGGCGGCCTCTGTGTGGGCGGGGTGGAGCGAACCATTAGCTTCGTTCGCCAGGGGAGCCCTGCAGGCCCTACTATCATCAGCGTGGGGGGTGGGAGTGCCGCGTGCAGTTCCTGAGGTGGGCGCAGGGGGTGCAGAACAAGGTGCACTCGTAGACCCGGCATTCACCCCACCTTCCAACCTGAGCGCGTGCCTCCGGGAGCCGCCCCCGCCTTACTCCCACCTCATCGCTGGTCCAGCCCTCGCGTCCCGTGCGGCGCTAGGGCCGGCGCGCGCCACCTCCGGGATCCGGGGTCGCAACTCGCATTCCACGCCGCGCGCCACTAGCTCCAGGTGACATCATCCCCCTGCCGGGCTCCGCCTCCCGCCCCAGCCGCCGCACGCCGCGCGCTTATTGGCCGGCGCGCCTCGAGCCCCGCCTTCCGCTCTCCGCCCGCGCGACCCCTCCCGGTCCGTGCGGAGGCGGGGTTTAGCCACCGGCCGGCTCCGACGACGCCTCCCATTGGCCACTCGGAGCCGTCTGTCAGTCTCCTGTTAAAGGGGCCACAACCGCACGGGAGCTGGTGGGGGGGGAGGGAGGAGGAATTTTTTTGGGGGGGAGGTGGGATTTGGGGGGCGCTGGTGGGCACCCCTGGATCTGGCGGCTGCGGCCTCGCGGGGGGAGACTGAACGGTGATAGGGGCAGGGGGTTATTTTAGGGGGTAGAGGGCTGTGAGACTGTGAGGGGGAGGGGGGGTCCCCAGCGCCCAAGCCGAAGCCAGAGACGCGGAGCCCGCGCGAGCAGCGGAGACAGGGCTCCGGAGCCACAGATCCGGGCCCCGGCCGCCGCCAGGGGCCCCGCCCGGTCCCCCCACCCCACCCCACGTCCCTCCTGCAGCCCAGCTCCGCCCGCAGCCGCCGCGGACCAGGTAGGTAAGAGCCCGGCCCAGCCCGCTTGGCAGCGCCCACCCCGGGGACCCCTCGCCGAGCCTTCCTCGCTTTCCCAAGATCCTGGACTCCCTTCTTTATCCCCGGGGGCTCCGGAGCCCAGATTTCACAGCCCAACCCCAGAGACTCAGGCGTGCCCCTCCCGGCTCTCAGAGTCCCCAACCGAACCCTAGAATCCCAGGCGTACTGCTGCCTTGCGCCTCGTCCAGGGCCCAGGAGCCTGGATTTCCCAGTTCAGCCCCGGCAGCCCCCTCTGTACCTACATCCTCCTCCTCGGCCCAGCCCGGAGCTCCTAATACCTGCCGTGGCCGTGTCAGACCCCCAGCTAGGGCCAGCTGCCCCCCGTCGGGTGTGCATAGTCGCCTATTCGTGCACCCGGCGTGCCCATCTCCAGCCTCCGGCTTGAACAGCCAGCCTCGTCCCTCGGTCCAGGCCGGCTCGGCAGCCGCCCTGGACACAGGCCCGCTCCGGAGCTGTCCATGGTCAGCGCACTCGGCAGCTTCACCTCCCCCACCTCCCGCGGCCGCTGCCGCTGGGAAGGGGGCGCCTGCGGCGCGGGGAATACCCCCCGCCGCGCCTTTGACCCGGAGATACCCGGGCCCTTTCCGACCTGGGCGCCTGGGCCTCAGGGTTCCGCTGGTGAGCCTCTGGCCAGTGCTCAGTACCCCAGGTTTCTGGGATCCCAGCTGCTTCTCGAGGAGTCAGGGCTTCTGAATGTTCCTGCCTGGTCCACCCTAGGGATCTTAGCATCCAGGGAATCCAGGGATCCAGTTCCCACCTGGCTCTGGAAGCCCTGTCAGTGCTCACTCCGTCTGGCTGAGGCCCCAACTGGTAACCCCCACCCGCTCAGGACCTAGGAATCCAGTTTCCCAGCTTTCACCCCCTTTAGAGACCCAGCTCAACAGTCCCCTGTGCCCCCGAGACAAATATACCCAGCCTCCTGGCATCTCAACATCTGCCTGCTTAGGGATTCAGTCACCATGACTCTCTTGGAATGTAATTCTTAATGCAATTCTCTGGCTTCTGCCCACCTTCCCTCTTGCAGACCTAGATGCTTTGTCCCTGGTCCTGCATCCCCTCAGGGTCCCAGGAGTTCAGACCCCGACTTCTGTATTACCCACCAAAGCTGCTGCAACTCTCATTCCCAACAAGGACTCAGGCTCCCAGCTTCCATCCCTTGTCCTTTATCTCCACAACGATTCAGGAGTCCAGCCCCCCACCAACTATCTAGCCCATTAGCTCTTGCTCTTAGGAATCCAGGTCCCCCCAGCCTTACAACCCCCATCAACTTGACATCTCTAGTGGCCTTAACAACTAACAACCTGCCTCATCCCCATATCATCTCAGGCACTGGGCTCTCTGGGAGCTGTCTTCTCTTCTTCTCTACTCTGTTCCCTGAGACCTACCTTCTTGAGATGTTTCCAGCACCCTATCATGATGTTTCTATGTCATGATGTTCCATCCTCTGAGTACACCTTCTCAAGATGATGGGCCAAACATACACCCCTTCCTCTAGATGTATTCTGTGACCTAGGTTCATTAGATGATCTAGAACCTACCCACTATCTTCCATATTCCCAGTTAAACTGTGCCCTTACATGCTCTAGAATCCTTCTAAATCTTAGAGCACTCTCAGCCAATATCTCTGTTCTGTTTGCACCCACGGTATATTCTCAATTCTAGGTTAAATACTAAATTCTAGGCATGTGTTTCCTCAGGGGAATTTAAACGTCTTGATAATGCCCCAAACCAAATTCTGATCCCACCTCCTCCTCACACATGTTCCAAATTTTTAGAAACTAGCACTTGCTTATTCTCTGCTAAATTTTATTTTAGGTGTGTTCTAGGTTCCAGCCACATCCTTGGCATTGTTCTAGATTCTGTTATCTTCCCAGGGGCATTCTATATTCTAGAATATGTGTGTTCCAATTATGTGCTCTAGCCTTTCTCCACATTCTGCTATCAGTTTTAAAATGTACTTTCCTATTTTAGGTCTATCCAGTTCTACAGTCTTAAATCTAAAAGATTCTTCCTGAAGTATTGTGCATCTTCCTTTTTCAGGTACTAGGTTCTAGGCTCATCCATTCCCACCTTTTCGGTCCATCTTTTCCCTAATGTGACCTTTGTTTAGAACTTATCTCCTGGAGGATTGTGGGCTTCCTCCTCCATCTGTCACTTTAGCATTCTAAGCATGCTCTAGGCTCATCTCCTCTTTTGGAGTCTTCAGCTAGAAATGTCCTCATTTCCAGAACATCTCTCCCCCCCTTCCTTTGCCAGCTCAGTCCTTATGCCAGTGAATTCTCAATTCCCAGCATGCTTCTGAATCTTCCCCCAGGCACTTCTAAGTTCCAGGCAAACTCCTTGCTACTTTCTAGGGTTTTCCCCCCCAACTCCAGGGCATGTTCTGAATTCTAGAGCCTATTTTCTGCCTTCTGTCTATCATCTAGACACATGATAACACCAAGAGTGTGACCCCTGATACAGTCTTTGTTATACCTGTATTCTTGGTAGGTTCTGAGTTCTAGGTGTTTCCTGACTAGGTTTATTTATGCAATACATTAGGTATGTTCTTAGATATCATTATGTTCCCCTCTGTGTTTGAGGTTCTTGGGTGACCCAGACCATTCTTTAATTTATTGGATTGCTTAGTTCAAGTTTCCAGACCTGGGTTCTAGAATATGACCCTCTACTTGGCCCTATGTGATGATTTTATCCCAAGCACACTGTACATGTGGAAACATATGTCCTTTCTGCAGTCTGTACTGTATTCATACCAGTGACTTTCTAGATTCTACACCCAGCTTTACTAAATTTTATTTCCTTCTCAGTTAATTTGAAGTTCTAGAGCAGCTTCTCTGGAACATCCAGTGTTGCATTTTCACATAAGTTCTGGACTTTAGATGCTGTGTTGGTTTTGACCTGTCTTATAAATATTGTCTCTGAATACTGGCATGCAGGTGTCTAGATTCCCAGGTACACCTCTTCAAAGACACAAGGGTACAGGCATCTTGCTATCTTCACTCCCACATTCCAGGACCCTCCATCCCTTCTTCTTCTCATTGGAATCCAAGACCCCAGTTCCATGTTTTGGACATAGTCTGCACATTGGGTGGGGCTGGGAATTATCCACTGTCAGAACCGGTTATGCTGCTGCCTGGAGGGAGAGAAGGAAAGGAAGGAACAGAGTGAAAGTCCCTCCTGCTTTCGACCAGGCCAGCTGGACCCGTCTGACCTGATGTGTGTGGAAGGAGTGGCTCAGCAGACTTCCCTTCATCTCCGCCTACAGCTCATGCACCCAGATCCTGAGTCCTGGGGGCCTGAACTCCTTGGTTCTGGGGCAAGAGGGGTCTGAAGGCTGAGATTTCTGGGTCCAAGGTTGGAGGTTGAAAGCTCAGATTCTTGTGTCCCTGTCTGACCTCAGGATTGGGGAAGAGGCGGCTGGAGGCTCAGACTCCTGGGTCTAGGGGAGAGAAGGGAATTGGGGACTCAGCCTCCTGTGACCTGAGGTAGGAGGGAGCTGGATCTTGGGACTCCTGGGTTGTGGGAGATGGCTAGCAAGTGGAGTAGTTTTTAGATGGAGCTGGGGTCCAGGTATCTGGGAAATTGTGGGCAGGATTTGGGCTGGAGAGTTGAGGGCCATCCCTGTGACCGTGTACTTGTACCACTGATAGTGGCCCCAGTTCTTCGACCTCCTGAAGGCATGGTTCTTAGCCAGGCTTATCCTCTTACTCACACAGTGGGTTAAGGTGTTTTCCCAGCAGGGTCAGAATAGGTAGACACTGGTTTTCCCACATTGACTCAGGCGATGGGTCACCTGGCTTCGGTTCTCCTCACTAGGCTGGTCTTAGATTTGCTGCCAGTGCCTGATGGAGTCTGGCCTCAGTTTCCCCAAATGCTCTCACTCAGGTAGCTAGCCCTGATTTCCCAGGAGCAATGGGCTTCAGTTGATCCCGTGACATGATCAGAATGGATGGGCCATAGTTTCATCTGTAGAATGCCTGGGTCGCCCCACCTCGGTTTCCACTATCCCAGAGGCCGTGCCTCAGTTTCTCTGCCAGTGCCTCGACGAGTCCGTTCTCTGTTCCCTGCCCCCTCCCCGCTCCCGCAGGCCAGCACCGCCGCCATGATGTGCGAGGTGATGCCCACCATCAGCGAGGATGGCCGGCGGGGCTCGGCGCTGGGCCCGGACGAGGCGGGCGGCGAGCTGGAGCGCCTTATGGTCACGATGCTCACGGAGCGCGAGCGCCTGCTAGAGACGCTGCGCGAGGCGCAGGACGGGCTGGCTACGGCGCAGTTGCGGCTGCGCGAGCTGGGCCACGAGAAGGACTCGCTGCAGCGCCAGCTCAGCATCGCTCTGCCCCAGGTCTGGGCGGAACCGGGGCGGGGCCTGCGGGAGGCGGGACCTCGACCACCGAAGGCGTGGAGAGGGCGGTCCGGAAGGGGCAGGACTTGGCTCTTGGGAGGGAGGAGTGCATTGCGGGGGTGTGGCTTGCAGGTGATGGGCGGGGCCTGGGCCGCTGGAAGGGGCGGGATTTCGCGAGGAGGGGCGGGGCCATCAAACCCAGTCCTGTGTAATGAGGGACATCGGGAAAGGATTGACCCGATTGTCCGGATCCTGCTCACATCTGGACAGGAGTTTGCGGCTCTGACGAAAGAGCTGAACTTATGTCGGGAGCAGCTACTGGAGCGGGAGGAAGAGATTGCGGAGCTGAAGGCGGAGCGGAACAACACAAGGGTGAGGGCTGTGGGGGCGGGGCATAGGTGGGGTGGGCAGGACCACGGGGTGTGGCAGCCTGACCCATCTTCTTTACCCATCTTGCCTTCCTGTTTTCTCTTCCCTACTCTCACTTCCTGGCTGGTCTTCTCTGGTCGCCTCTTTCCTTCACATCTCCTCCCTTCTCTCCATATTTTTTCTTTTCCTACACCTCGTTCCTTGACCATGCCCCTACCTCTGATACCCCTCTCTCTTTTCCTGACCTCTCTCCTTACTCCTTTGCTTGACTCCACCACTTCCTCCATGTGCCCGCCCCACCTGTCTGAACCACCCTTGTCCTCGACGCTGCCTCTCTTCCCTTGCCTCTGTTCCTTGGCCCGATGACCTAACCCTGTAGCTTCTCCTTGAACACCTGGAATGCCTGGTGTCCAGGCACGAGAGGTCACTGCGCATGACCGTGGTAAAGCGCCAGGCCCAGTCCCCGGGTGGAGTCTCTTCCGAGGTGGAGGTGCTCAAGGCTCTAAAATCCCTCTTCGAGCACCACAAGGCCCTGGATGAGAAGGTATGAGAATCAGAAAAGCCTGGATGCCTAAGCCTGTGGCTGGCTGGAGCTGTCCTGGATAGGAGAGATTCTGGCTGTGGTTGATTGGGGATGTCCTAAGTGGGAAGAATGTTGACTGAGATTGATTGGGACAGGCTACTCAGACTGGGACCTGCCTGGTTAATAATAGGAAAATGAATTTCGGTGGGGAGCTACCAGTGGGTGAGGATGCCTTTGTAACTCGTTGGAGTTGCACATCTATTATAGGTGGAGGAATGCTAATGTTGCCCTATCAGGCCGTTCCAGGGGTGTTCGGCCTCATAGTCGACTGTCCTAGATTAGGTGTGATCTCCATCTCACTCTACCCTGTCCCCATCCCCAGGTCCGGGAGCGGTTGCGGATGGCGCTGGAGCGGGTGGCGGTGCTAGAGGAGGAGTTGGAGCTGAGCAATCAGGAGGTGGGGGCGTGGCTAAGAAGGAGGAGGGATCAGGGAGCTGATTGGGTGGGTTGGGGCTAAGAGAAAGAACTGATTATGGAGGAAGTGGTTCTTTGGGGAAAATTGGGGCTCTAGAGGACACCAACGCAAGAAGGCTAGGGGGAAGAGTAAGGGTGAGTTCCTTCATGCCGGGCAGCTAAAGAGAGATAAAATGAAAACACAGGGTTTAAGAATAGACTGTGCGATGGGGTGGCCCCGACAAGACCAATGGATGTAGAGTTGGGGGCTCTAGGACTCCCTCTGTCCTGATCTCCGTTTCCCGTTCCCAGACCCTGAACCTTCGAGAACAGCTGTCTAGGCGCCGGTCGGGGCTGGAGGAGCCCGGCAAGGATGGGGACGGGCAGGTGAGAGGTGGAAGGCTTTCCCTCCCCTTGCTCTTCAAGAATCCCCATCCCTGTGACCTCCACTCAGCCCCTAACTTTGTGATGGCCCTTTTAATGTTTGGTATGAGCCTCACTGACTCTGTGACATCTGAAGTCCTACGACCCTTAGTGGCCTTTGACCTCTAATTCAAGTCAACTAGCTAACTCCTGTGACCTCCAGGACTGATCTTTGAACCAACCCCCTCCCCCCAGTCAACTGTCTCCTGTATTCTCTCTATGTCTGTGTTTCCCACTCTGGATTCTGTCCTTTCTTGTCTCACTGTTCCCACTCCAGCCCCTTGCCAATGGCCTTGGTCCTGGCGGGGATTCGAACCGGCGCACAGCTGAGCTGGAGGAGGCCCTGGAGCGGCAGCGTGCGGAGGTGTGCCAGCTGCGGGAGCGCCTGGCGGTGTTGTGCCGCCAGATGAGCCAGCTGGAGGAGGAGCTGGGCACCGCCCACCGCGAGCTGGGTAAGGCCGAGGAAGCTAACGCCAAGCTCCAGCGCGACCTCAAGGAGGTGAGGCCGGAGCCCCTGGTGGGCTGCCCTCTGTCCCTCCCTCTCCCTAGCCTTCCCCGGTCCCCCTTTGCCCAAAGTCACAGAACTCATGAATGGTGGAACCTGGATTTGGTCCACGAGCAGTTGACTCTCCTCTCTGAGCCTTAGTTTGCTCACCTGTAGAATGGGACTTATGACTCTTGCCAGAGAGTTGGTATATGACACATATATGGTAGGCGGTCAATAACTGGGGCGGGCAAGGAAGGGCAAAGGGAGAGGGAGGAGCAGGCTCCCCACTGAGCAGAGAGCCCTACACATGGCTCGATCCCAGTACCCCAAGATCAGGACCTTCGCAGAAGGCAGATGCTTAACCAGCTGAGCCATCCAGGCATCTCACTCTTGTGCTTCTAAATTGAGTTCCTTTGTCTGCATTTCTTTTTCTTTCTTTCTTTCTTTCTTTCTTTCTTTCTTTCTTTCTTTCTTTCTTTTTTTTTTTTTTTTGCATTTTAAAAAATATTTTATTTATTTTTTCATGAGAGACAGAGAGAGAGAGAGAGAGAGAGGCAGAGAGGCAGAGACACAGGCAGAGGGAGAAGTAGGCTCCATGCAGGGAGCCTGACTTGGGACTCGATCCCAGGTCTCCAGGATCACACCCTGGGACGAAGGCAGCGCTAAACCGCTGAGCCACCCGGGCTGCCCCCTTTGTCTGCATTTCACCACATCCTGGCTTAGGCCCCTTGGTCCTAACTCCTATGCTCTGGGACTGCTGGGAAATGTAGAGTATGGATTCTGGAAGTTACTGGATGAGAAAGAAGAGCAAGAACTTTGTTTTTCATCATCCTTTGGGACTTTCACCTCAGATTTTTTTTAAAAGATTTAATTTATTTATTCATGAGAGACAGAGAGAGAGAGAGGCAGAGACACAGGCAGAGGTAGAAGCAGGCTCCACATGAGCAGCCTGACGTGGGACTCAATCCTGGGACTCCAGGATCATGCCCTGGGTGGAAGGCAGGTGCTAAACCGCTGAACCACCCAGGGATCCCCTCACCTCAGATTTTAAGCCTGGATGGCTCTGGGGCCTGTTAGGAAGAAGTGTAGTCCCACCTCACAGGCTCCCAGACAGAAGTCCATCTTCCATGAAACCCTGGAGCCCTGTCTTGGATTTTCTGAGCCTGTGCTACCTTGGGGCTCTTGGGAGATGTTGCCTCCCACGTGGAAGGGACTTTTGTTTTTCATGAGACCCTAGGGCACTTGCTCTGTGATTCTAAGCCTGGGCTGTGCTAGAAGTTGCTGAAAGATCTAAGACCTGGATTTTTAAAAAAATATTTATTTATTTATTTATTTATTTATTTATCTATCTATCTATCTATCTATCTATCTATCATCTATCTATTTATTTATTTATTTCCTTCTTAAATTAGTTTAAGAGATAGAATTTAGTGATTCATCAGCTGCATATAACTGGATTTTTTTTTCTTAAAGGTGATTTGTTATTATTTTTAAGTAAACTCTACCCCCAAGTTGGGGCTTGAACTCATGATCCCAAGATCTAGAGTCGCATACTGTACGGACTAGGCCAGCCAGGGGCCCCTAAGGCCTGGATTTTTGAAGGAAGAGGGCCAGGGAGAATGGAAACTTTCCATCCCATGGGCTTTAGGTCATCCATAAGGGGAGGGTCTAAGACAGACGTCCTAGAGGCTTATGGGAGGTGTGGTACTACCCTTTTAACTCTGGGGTTGTCGAGGTCCTGAGGTTCGCTATTCCTGGGAGTTCTTGGCAAGTGTGGTTCTGCCATTCTGACTCCCACATAGTCGGAGACTTCATTTCCCAGGATACCCTGGGGTACCTGATCTGGGATTCTAAGCCTGCGTACCCCCGGGGCTTACTGGGAGCTATAGTCCACGTGACTTTTTGCCACCTCTGCAGGCGCTTGCGCAGCGGGAGGATATGGAGGAGCGAATCACGACCCTGGAGAAGCGCTACCTCAGTGCCCAGCGTGAGGCCACGTCGCTGCACGATGCCAATGACAAGCTGGAGAATGAGTTGGCCAGCAAGGAGTCGCTGTACCGGCAGGTGGGGGCAAGGCCATGGCCTGTGTTACCTAACTCCTCTCATTCCTGGTCCACCCCGCGGCCCCATCTCTGTCCTCCCCCCACCCCCCCAGAGTGAAGAGAAGAGCCGTCAGCTGGCAGAGTGGTTGGATGACGCCAAGCAGAAGCTGCAGCAGACGCTGCAGAAGGCAGAGACCTTGCCCGAGATTGAAGCACAATTGGCCCAGCGCGTGGCAGCGCTCAACAAAGTGAGGAGAGGCCCGGGGCGGGAGTGTGGGGGTATGGGGTATAGGGATGAGGCCAGGCCTTCAGTCTGGAGGGGTAGGACACTTGTAGCTGTGATGCTGGGACAGTGGGGGGTGGGGGTCGGGGGTGTGGAGAAGGTCTAGGAAAGTGGGAGAACTTGGAATGGGGGCAGGGCCCGGAGGCTGTTGGACGCGTTTACTAGTCTGGACTGACAGGATGGCCTAGAACGCAAAAAAAGGAACAGACCCTGAGGATGGGATGGGGCGGTAATCGTAGTGCAGGGTCTGTAGCCTCTTCGCCAAGGAGCCTGGAGCTCGGGGGTGGGGCTTGAACCTTGGAAGAGGCGGGGTCTGAGCCTCACTGGGTCCTACTGTGGCAAAGTCACCAGCTCTGGCTTCTGTCCACTAGGCTGAGGAACGTCATGGGAATTTTGAGGAGCGACTTCGGCAGCTGGAGGCCCAGTTGGAGGAGAAAAACCAAGAACTGCAGCGGGTGAGGGGGGAGGACGGTGGCAGAGGGGGTGGGGCTTTGAAGCCATCCGGGCAGGAGCTTTTAGATGAGGGGGTGAAGTTGGGGGCCGTACTCTGGGCAAGGTGGGCTTGAGTATTCCTGTCCTGCTGTCCTTTGGGCAGGCCCGGCAGCGGGAGAAGATGAACGATGACCACAATAAGCGGCTGTCGGAGACAGTGGACAAATTGCTGAGCGAGTCCAATGAACGGTTACAGCTGCACCTCAAGGAGCGCATGGGGGCGCTGGAGGAGAAGGTGTGCCCCAACCCAGGATGTCAGCAAACTGGAATCCTATACCACCTCTTGCCAGGATCCCGGGGCCCCAGACCTTTCCCCAGACTGTTAGTTGAGATCTCAAATCTGGTTATCCGGAATTCGAAGTCAACACACTTACCTAGTCTGTTGCTGGGGCCATTCTTTCACCTGGTCTAAACACCCTAAGAGCTAAATTCTGGGGGCACCCACACCCTGCCTGAGTTCTTGCCTTTTCCCCAAGCCCCTGATTCTTTGGACCCTCACACTTTGAAGATTATCTATCTATCTATCTATCTATCTATCTATCTATTTATTTATTTATTTATGAGAGTACAAGCAGGACGAGGGGCAGAGGGGGAGGAAGAGGTAGAGAATCTGAAGCAGACTCCCTGCTGATCTCAGAGCCCCATGGAGGGGTGGGGGCTTGATTTCATAACCCTGAGATCATGACCCCAGGCTAAACCAAGAACCGGATGCTCAATGGACTGAACCACCTAGACACCCCTGGACCTTCCAACTTTGAATCTTTGTGCTGGATTTTGGGGCTCCCGGGCATTCCCCTCCCTAGATGCATCTTTGACCCCACAAGCCCCCTCCTCACTCCCCACCCCTTGTATCCTCTAGCTCACCAACCATACCCACCTCATTCCCCTGGGGTTGCCTTCAGCCAGTCTCTGGATGCTTCCAGCCCCAGGACGTGCCCATTCCAGGCACCACCCCTCATTGCACCCCTGTCTTCCCCAGAATTCACTGAGTGAGGAGATTGCCAATATGAAGAAGCTTCAGGATGAACTGCTACTCAACAAGGTAAAGAGAGGTCTGGAGAAGAGGGCGTGGGGAGCTAGGACCAGGGACATGGAGCAGGCATTGCTGGGGATGCAGTCAGCCAGGCTGGGAGGGGCTGTTGCTTAGGGACAGGGCATATTCTGACCTGACACCTCCAACTTCCTCCCACCAGGAGCAGCTCTTGGCAGAGATGGAGCGGATGCAGATGGAGATTGATCAGCTGCGGGGGAGGCCACCATCCTCCTACTCCAGGTGACAGTAATCCTAATGCCTCACCTCTGCCCACAGGAACTGCCTTAGCCAAGCTCATCCTTTCTGATCTCCAGGTCTTCCACACCCCCACTCCCTGTCCTCCAAAGGCTTCCACTGATTCCTGTTATTTTGGACACCTGGCTTCATGCCCTCTGACCTCGACCTCTGACTTCCGATCCCTCTTCTAATCCTCTGACCCCATACCTCTCTTCCCTTTTCCTGACCCCTTGGTCTCCGACTGCTACCCTCTCCATGCCCACAGGTCTCTCCCTGGCAGTGCCCTGGAGCTCCGTTACTCCCAGGCACCTACATTACCTTCTGGTGCCCACTTGGACCCCTATGGGGCTGGCAGTGGCCGGGCAGGCAAGAGAGGCCGCTGGTCAGGGGTCAAGGACGAGCCCTCCAAGGTCAGCAGCCACTTTTGGGGCCCTGGACTGAGCAGGGGATGGATGGGCAACAGTAGAAGTAGAGTTTAATATGTGGGGCTCTCTAGAAGGGGGCTGGGATGAGAAACAGGGTCTCCTGGACCCATGTTGTCTTTTTTTCCTCCCGTAACTCCATCATCCCCACTTGCTTGACGTCTCTTTGTGCGGATATCCTGCTCCCTGGTAAGAACCTTAGTGGAATGATGAGGTGGGGAGAGGGTGGTGTCTGGGGGATGGGCACTGTGTAGAATCCTAGAATGGGGGTGCAAGGTAAAGAAAGGAAGTGGTTTGGGTCAAGGGAAATGGTAGAATCAGGAGATGGGGTAGAGGTCCTGGATGGGGCATTCGGTCAAGGAAAGGGACTTGTCAAGAGGCAAGGCTTGGCTGGGAAAAGTGTGTGGGCTGGATCACGTGGTGAGGCCACTCATTGTCAGGGGACATGGGAAGGCTCATGGAGGGTGGACAAGGTCAGTAGAGGTGAGGTAGGCCCCAGCACCTCCCTTGACCCCCACCCACCTGATATCCTTTGTCCCCATACAGAGACAGGAGTGGGAGCGGTCAGCCCCCGCGGGGTCCATGCCACCCCCATTCCCTGGGGAGCTGGATGGCTCAGATGAGGAGGAGGCCGAGGGGATGTTTGGGGCTGAGCTGCTCTCCCCCAGCGGACAGGCTGATGTGCAGACGCTGGCCATCATGCTTCAGGAGCAGCTGGAAGCCATCAACAAGGAGATCAAGTGAGTGCTGGCCTATTCCTCCTCCACCTTGCCTGAGCTGACCTCATAGCCCCTCTTGCTTTGGAGACTGATCTGAAGGCCTGAGAACATCTCCTCTCTTACTATCCTCAAGGAACTCCCCCAGCCCAACACTCCCTCTGGTAACTAGGAATCCCTCAGGATACACCCAGAAGTCTCTGTGCTTGCTTGCTTTCTATCTATTCCCTATCCAGTATTCACAATTTCCCAATACACCGAAGACTGCATTCCCAAATACCAAAGTTCTCAAGCCAGTACACCAGGAATCCTCCAGTACACCATGGATGTCATGGCTTCTCATAGCTAGTACCCAGAGTCTCCCAGTACCCCAAGAATCTCAACACAAGGTCCCCAATCCCAAACACCAAGAGTCTCACCCTAATACTTCAAGAATCTCAACTCAAGAGACCAAGAATTTCTACTTAATATAATAAGAATCCTTGATTTATTATGAATCCCCCATTGACATAAAGTCTCTCCTGATTTCCCAGAAATTGCCCTATTTGGCATTCTTTAACAACAAACCCTCCATGGGCCCCAGCAAATACACCAACATGACCACTACTTTCCATCCAAAGTCATTCTGAGTTGAGGCATTGATTCACATGCCAAATGTCTCCATGAATTTCCCAGATCCTCAGTTGACCTCAGAGTCCCTGATCTCACCCTGATCTTATTATGATCTTGCTTTTCTGTCCTTGGAATTTGACCTTTCCCATAGTGATCTTTTTTATAATTTTATAGAACTATGTGGTTATCATCATGGAAGCCTTGATGCAGACCCTGATCTTCCTGTTGTCTCTCATCCTTCCATGACCTCTTGGGCCTGTTATGACCCTTTGACACCCCTTGAACCTGTGAGGCCATGATGAATCCACCAATACCTTCTAACCTCATTATGCTTCCCCCAGAATTCTTTTTGCCTCACCGAGCCTTCCTGGCCCTTTAGGATCCCCAGACTCTATCCCCCATGGCTTGCCTGCGCTCTCTCACAGTCTCCCCCTTTTTTCCTCCTTAGGCTTATCCAAGAGGAGAAGGAGACAACAGAACAAAGGGCAGAGGAGCTGGAGAGCCGGGTGTCTGGCTCTGGCCTAGACTCACTGGGCCGCTACCGTAGTAGCTGCTCACTGCCCCCCTCCCTCACTACCTCTACCCTTGCCAGCCCCTCCCCTCCCAGCTCTGGCCACTCAACGCCCCGTCTGGCTCCCCCTAGCCCTGCCCGTGAGGGCACCGATAAAGCTGTGAGTGTTCTGGAGTCTCCTTATTTTGGTGGGGTGGCCAGGTTGAGACAGGGATCCCCAACCAACAGCAACAATAACTCTTCACACCAGTGATTTTCAAAAGCAATCTTAGCTTTCCCTAGAAGTTCCAACTTAAAGGCATAAGGGAGGCCGAGCCACTGGTTTGATGAACCCTAACTTGTGTTTTAGTAAGGTCGGATCTGTTTTTACCTGTTTTATGCACTAAATTTCTTCATAGGGTGGTTTTTTTTGTTTTGTTTTGTTGGTTTTTTTTTTTTTAAGGTTTCTGTGAGTAAAGATTTGAGAGCTAATATTAGATCCTCAGAACTGATCTTTGAGGAGGAATAAGACATATTAGCCCATTTTATTGCCTTGGACTCAGTGTTTCGGCTTCCAAAATGTATAACTCATTCACTTTCCTTAAGTCTGAGCAGATCCCACTCCTGACACCAGAAGCTAGGCTACATAAAACTGGCTGGTCAAGCTCGTTGCCTTTATGTTTCTGCAACACCCCCTACCTAGTCTAGGCTACTTTCAGAAATGGTACCCCAGACCAGGGGCATCCTAGCCATCTCCTAGTAGACATCTCAACTAATGAAGACACCCCAACATGACCCCTACAATTCATTTTAGCATCTCTGCCTTTCTGTCCCCAGAATCATGTCCCCAAGGAGGAAGCTGGGGCTCCACGAGGAGAGGGGCCTGCCATTCCAGGAGACACTCCACCTCCTACTCCCCGCTCTGCCCGCCTTGAGAGAATGACACAGGCCTTGGCACTCCAGGCAGGATCCCTGGAAGATGGGGGGACTTCACGGGGAAGGTCAGCACGGGCAGTGGATGGGATGGGGAGGGGCTTGCTTGGGAGGATGTGTCAGGGAATGGTCAAGGACTTGGGGGAAGAGGAGGTATCCCAGATGGAGCTGCCCTCACTTCGTCCTGTTCACCCAGTGAAGGCACCCCAGATTCCCTGCACAAAGCCCCCAAGAAGAAGAGCATCAAGTCATCCATAGGCCGTCTCTTTGGCAAGAAGGAGAAGGGGCGAATGGGACCACCAGGCCGGGACAGCTCTTCTCTGGGTGAGTACCCTGATGGCAACCCTATCTCCCTTCCTCTCTCCCTTCTTTCCTTCCTCTCTTCCTTCTTTTTTCCCAAATTCAATTGACAGTCATCTGAGTCTTCATCCATTTGGTAATTCATAGGCTGTGAAGGGGGCAGGACTCGATAGAGATAGGGGGATAGAAAAGGGACCCTTGAAAAGGGCATTCTGTGAAAAGGGCACTCTGAGGCCTGCCCAGATGACCAGAGGAGGGGAGCTAAAATTTTGTTTACCTATTTTTTAAAAATATTTTATTTATTTATTCATGAGAGACACACAGAGAGAGGCAGAGATACAGGAAGAGGGAGGAGAAGCAGGCTCCATGCAGAGAGCCCGATGTGGGACTTGATCCTGGGACTCCAGAATCACACCGTGAGCCAAAGGCGGACGCTCAACTCCTGAACCAGTCAGGCATCCCCGTTTACCTATTCATTTTATTTTTAAAGATTTTACTTATTTATCATGAGAGATATACACAGAGAGGCAGAGACATAGGTAGAGGGAGAAGGAAGCTCCCTGCTGGGAGCCTGATGCAGGACTTGATCCCAGGACCCTGGGATCATGACCTGAGCCAAAGGCAGATGCCCAACCACTGAGCCACCTAGGTGCCCCCTATTTTTTAAATAGAGAAAGAGAGTGGACCACCTAAAGGCAGGGCATATGGTGTGCTAGAGCTTGCTGGTACTGGCTTGTGGAAGTCTATAGTTAAGTATTTATGAGTTTTGTGAGCTGCTTGACATTACATTGGTAGCCTGGAATTGGTGGGATTCTTCACACCATGAACATTGGCAAACACTACAAATCAGGGGATACTCTCTCCCTCCTGGGGAGCCAGTTGTTAAATATTTACCAGCATATGATTGTCATCTTACAGAGGCTAACCCAGTGAATCCATCCCTATTTTGGGGATGTCTCCATTTGGGAGGTGAAATTTGTTCCTATGTGGCTTTATCACTCCCTCTGTGTGGCCTCATTCACTACTGTCTTGAAGCGTCTGCTTCTCTGGCCTCCTTCTCAGCAACCCCCACATCAAAGGGTCTCCTTCCAACTTGAGAGCCTCCAAATTCTGGCCCCTCTCTACCTTCAGCAGGAACACCCTCCGATGAGACATTGGCCACGGACCCTCTGGGGCTAGCCAAGCTGACAGGCCCAGGAGACAAGGACCGAAGGAACAAGAGGAAGTGAGTGTGTATAGGGAGGAGGGGGGTGGGCGATGGGAAGACCACTCGCAGAGATTCATTTTTTTTTTTTTAACCTTCATCCAAGTTTTCTACCTTCATAAAAACTGCTTTGGGTACTCCCTTTGGCAGCACGTATACTAACATTGGAATGATACAGAGAAGATTAGCATGTCCTCTGTGCAACAATGCCATGCAAATTCCTGAAGTGTTCCATTGAAAAACAAAACATGTTTTGGAGGGGGTGTGTGGTAAAGGGGCCCATCCCGGAGGGCTGGGTGTCTCTACCTTTGAGAGCTCCTGCCCTAGGCCTCTGTCCCCAGGCACGAACTTCTGGAAGAGGCCTGCCGCCAGGGCCTGCCCTTTGCTGCTTGGGATGGGCCTACCGTGGTCTCCTGGCTGGAGGTACTGGGGCCCAGAAATGCTCGGACTCTTGATCCCTAACTCCTGTGAGAGCCCCACCACTAGGTGGCCACCCCGGGCCACCCAGCCTCATCCTGGCCCATGGGGGTGGTTGAGGGGGGTGAGAGGTCAGCCTTTCTGTTGATCTTTAAACAGCTTTCTTTCCCTGTCCTCCCACCCCTGCCATTCTGGTCATGCCTACTTCGGTCCTGCTGGCCTGTTGTTTCTCCCTCACTGTATGGGATTCTCTGTGTCTGTTGTTTTGCCTCTCTTCCCATGTCTGTGTTTTTGTCATTCCTCATGTCTCTTCCCACGTTTCTGGGTCTCCCTATGTCTCTCCCCCAATGTCTTTTGCTTCTTTCTCTCCCCACATCTTTCTCATTTCTGTCTCTCCCCCTCCCTCTCTCCCTTGTGACTCTGACTCTCCCCCTTTTATTCCATGTGTCTCTCTTGGACTCCCTCTTGTCTGTTTGCCTTGCCCCATCTTGGTTGCTTTTCACCACTAACTTTCCTACCTCTCTGTCTCCCTCCTGTCTCTCCACTTTCTCCTCCAACATTGTCTCTGTCTCTGTGTATGTCTCTTCCTTCCCTCTCCCCGCTTCCCTCCCTCTGTGCAGCTGTGGGTAGGCATGCCTGCATGGTATGTGGCCGCCTGCCGGGCCAATGTCAAGAGCGGTGCCATCATGGCCAACCTGTCAGACACGGAGATCCAGCGGGAGATTGGCATCAGCAACCCACTGCACCGGCTCAAACTACGCCTCGCCATCCAGGAGATGGTCTCACTCACCTCGCCCTCAGCGCCCGCCTCCTCCCGCACGGTGAGCGTCCGGATGCCAATGGCAACCCTGGCCACCTTAGGGCCCCGCCTCTTGCCCTCAAACTAGCCAATCCTGAGCTCGCTTACCCCAGCTCTGTCTCGCAGATCCTCTTCCCTCAGTGTCTCACCTAGATTATCTCAGAGGCATTGGAGGAGAGTAGGGGTGGAGGTCCCTTCTCAGGTCTCCCTGCCTCCCCTCTACCTCAGTCTGTCTTAGACAGGACCCCAATGGGGAGAAAAAAATCCAAATTCATATGGTCCCTTATAAAGCCTTTGATGAGGGGGCTCCTTTTCTTCCCCCAACACACCCCACTCTGCCCCTACTCTGGTTCTTAGCTAGTGCAGCTCCCTTTCCTCAGAACACTACTTGCCCCATCTCTAAATTAGTGACTAAATTAGTCATTCGCCCCATCACCCCAGCACATGAACACCTAATTTTTCCCCCAGGAGTGTTTACGGCCTTCTAATATTTTATCCTTTTGTTCCCCGCCGAAACTTCTGTGTGCCATGCCCAATTCAACACTTGTTAACTCCTTGCCCTACTTGCTGTTTGCATTTGTATACCTGAGGCCCTCAAATATAATTTGTGGAGATCATTAGTGGTTAGCCTGAAAAATTACTTCATCAGGGCATCTTTTCTTCTTTAAAATTTTTATTTATTTGACACACAGAGAGAAAGCACACAAGCAGGGAGAGTGGCAGGCAAAGGGAGAGGGATGTGGGGCTGTATCCCAGGACCCTGAGATCATGACCTGAGCGGAAGGCAGAGGCTTAACCAACTGAACCATCCAGGTGCCCCATTATCAGGGCATATTCTAACAATAAGAACATTCTTCTTGAACAACGCAACCACTGTGCCCTTTTACCTAAGAATGTTACTATTATTGTCAATTTCATCCATTCAGTCTATTTTTCAAATTTCCCCTGGTGTGTCCCAGACCCTACAACTGTGCCTGGCACTCATGAGGAGCTACATAAGTGAATCAATGTATGAAGTCCTAACTCGTGGGGTCATTGGGAGCATTGGGAGCAGGTGCTCAGTAAATGTGAATACACCCCCTCCCCCCAAACTTTTGTCCCACAGCTGTATCTGTTACCTTATTCTGAACCTTCACTCTGTACCTACATCCGTGTGAAGTCAGAGAGGTGATGTTGTGCCCAGGGCCACACAGCAAAATACCCAGCAGGGCTCCAATTCAAACCTGAACTTGCCCCATCCCCAAAGCCCATGGTTTTTGTTTTTTTTGCCTGGTACACAGCAGGTGCTCAATAAATGATCATTCGTTTTCTCTTTCACTGCCTGGTCCAGAGCAGTGACTGGCCTTTCTGAGGCAGAAAGCAGAATATATAAATGGACTGGCCTGGGCCTCTAAGGAACACCACCTTCTTCCGCTCCCCTATCCAAAAGCCCTCTTAACCTCCTTAACACCTCTTGCCCCTCAGTCCACAGGAAACGTGTGGATGACACACGAGGAGATGGAGTCCCTCACGGCCACAACCAAGCCTGTGAGTGACCCCTACCGGCGGCCTTGGGGGTGGCACTAACTCTCCCTCGGGAGGGGTGGGGGGGCGAATCTCTGGATGTTCGTCCGTCTGTTCGTCTCTCCTGCCCTCCTCCGCCTGCCCCTTAACCCACCCCTTCTCTCCCCTTTTCCCACTAACGGGTCAGGAGACCAAGGAGATCAGCTGGGAGCAGGTAGGGGGCGCGGGGCGGGGCGTGGGCGCATGAACAGGCTGTGCACGCTGCATGCACGCCCCTCCTTCCCCAAGCCCCGCCCCCACCCTCGCCGGAGCGTTCCATCATCACCGCGGGAGGCGCTGCGTGGAGCGGGGCTCCGGACTGTCTCATTGTGGCTTGGTGGGGGTTGGTGGAAGAGCCCGGACTATTCCATTGTTAGCGTGGGGGCATGGGCCATTCCATTATCGTGGGTTGCGGGGGTTCCAGGGGCTGTTCCACTGCTGTAACTAAAGGGAGACCTTTTCTCTATATTGAGGAGTGGGACTGTTCCAGTGTGCTGAGGCAAAGGGGGGAGGCATTTTGAGGAGGGGCAGCAGGTCAGGCTGAGAAGTTGGGGGGAAGGAGGAGCTACACTTTTTTCTCAGGAAGGGAGAGGCATGAACTCCCCCCAGGTAGCGAACTAGCGAACTAGCGGTGGACTGGGGTCTTCGTTTCTAGCCAGGGGGAGGTGTTGTTTCCTTATGCTAAAGGGAGTGAAGGACTTTGGGCTGACCCAGAATATTGTCCTGAGTCAATACTGTCCAGATATAGCATTAGATTAGTATTTTTGGATAGTGCAAAAGTGATGGCTGGATCCATTATCGTTTGTTGTGGGGGATAACTACACTGGAAGAATCCGGGGTCCTGACTTGGGGGAGTAATGATGTTGGACCCATCCATTGTTCTGAGTTAGGACAATGCTAGGCTAGTGCTTCTCACACCTTACTGTTCAGGTAACCTGAGGATCTGGTGAGAATGCAGATTCTGATTCAGTGCCTGGGGTGGGGTCTGAGATTCCACAGTTCCAGCAGGTGTACAGGTGATGGCTATGCTGCAGGTCCAAGGACCACACTTTGAGCAGACAAGGGTGTATGCTGTTATGAAGGAGTAGGAGACAGCTGGATTGGTCCATTGTCCTGAGCAGAGATTGACCATTGTCCTAATGCAGGGTGGAAATAGAACAACCTTGGGTCAGGGGGTTGGAGTGTACCCTTTCATACATACATGGGAAGGGGTCAGAGGGCCTGACCCCTCCCCCACCTGCCCATGGCCCCAGATCCTGGCATATGGTGACATGAACCACGAGTGGGTGGGAAACGACTGGCTGCCCAGCCTGGGGCTGCCCCAATACCGCAGCTACTTCATGGAGTCGCTGGTGGATGCCCGCATGTTAGATCATCTTAACAAGAAGGAGCTCCGGGGCCAACTCAAGATGGTGGACAGCTTCCACAGGTGGGGGCTGCCTGGCCAATGGGGACAGTCCAAGGGGAAGCCTCACTCCTAGAGAGTCTTTGGCCAATGGGACTGGTGATGGGAAAGTCCTCGGACTATCTTTGGTCCTTTAGCCTGGATTCTCAGGAAATCCTGAAATTCTGTGCCCCTTCCAACCAATAAGATGGTCCATCAGGAAAAGTCCAAATCCTCAGACAGCTTGGCTAGTTGACCCCATACCCTGTCCAGGTTAACCAATAGGAACTGCCTGTTGAAAATACCCCAAGTCCTGGGAAGGTCAGCATTCCCTAAAACTGACCCAGTGGAACAACTCCCCGACCTTTCCCAGAAGACCACAGCCAATGGGGAGGGAAGCAGCAGCAGCCATTGGAGTTGTGAAGATTCATCTGTGACCCCACTTTCCCCTACTGCTCAGGGTGAGTCTGCATTATGGGATCATGTGCCTGAAACGGCTCAATTATGACCGGAAGGACTTGGAGCGGAGGCGGGAAGAGAGCCAGACCCAAATCCGAGGTGAGTAGGAGTGTAAGAGTCCCCCTGGGGAGCCAGGTGGAGGAGTTTGGAGCAGGTGGGGAGGGGGTAGTATTGGGGCGGGGAGCAAAGGTCCTTTGCGAGGGGCGTGGAGCAATCACAGGGGGCGGAACCACCACAGGGGGCGTGGCCAGGTTAGAGGATTGGGAGGTGCCGTGTGGGCTGCATTGAACCCGCTGGCAGCTGAGAAGCCCTTCTGTCCCAGACGTGATGGTGTGGTCCAATGAGCGGGTCATGGGTTGGGTGTCCGGGCTGGGACTGAAGGAATTCGCCACGAACCTCACGGAGAGCGGGGTGCACGGGGCGCTGCTCGCCCTGGACGAGACCTTCGACTACTCCGATCTGGCCTTGCTCCTGCAGATCCCCACGCAGAATGCGCAGGTGAGCCGCCGCTTGGCCCGGGGCATACTGGGCAACCCCACCTCGCAGACTGCACGCTACCACCCTTCCACCTCTCGTCCCCAGGCCCGGCAGCTCCTGGAGAAGGAATTCAGTAACCTCATCTCCTTGGGCACAGACAGGAGGCTGGACGAGGTGGGCGCAGCGGCAGCCCTGGAGGCTCAGCTCCTAGCGGCTCCTGTAGGGTGCCGAAGCGCGGTGGCGTGACTTTGCCAGCTGGAGGCGGTTGGGGGCGGGACCAGGACGGGGGCGGGGCTAAAGGGGGAGATGCAGCCCGACAGGGGTGGAGCCAGAGGAAGCGGCTGAGTCAGAACCCCGCCCTAGTCCCTCACTGTCCGCCTGGCCCCTATACCTAGGACAGCGCCAAGTCGTTCAGCCGCTCCCCATCCTGGCGGAAGATGTTCCGAGAGAAGGACCTTCGAGGCGTAACCCCCGACTCAGCTGAGATGTTACCCCCCAACTTTCGTTCGGCCGCAGCAGGGGCCCTGGGCTCTCCAGGGCTCCCTCTTCGCAAGCTGCAGCCCGAAGGTGGGCGGCTCCCAACTATGACAGCACCCCCACTTTCTTGGGGTTGGAAAAGGACCAACCCTACTTTCCGGAAGCCCCCCTCCGGGTTCTGAATTGGCCTAGTCCTTTCTCCCCCGCTCATGACAAATGGGTTGCTCAGTATCCCAACTCCCTCCTTCGGGTGTGGAATGGAGTGGTCCCGCAACCCCTTTCCAAAGTGGGGAATGAGTTCGCCCACTGCCACCTGGGGCACCTTAGATGTTTCCCAGGCTGCGGGAGAGGGAGGGAGACCGGCGTGGAGCCAGGCGTTCTCTATCATTTCGGGAGGAGAGAATCCAAGAGAGGACGCTTGGGGTTGAGGATAAGAGAAACCTTGCTCTGTGTGTGTGTGTGAGTGAGACACGCGCGCACTTACTAAACCACTGCTCGCCCCCCCTCTAGGCCAGACTTCTGGGAGTTCTCGGGCAGACGGCGTTTCGGTCCGGACCTATTCCTGCTAGTGTAGGCCTCCAGGTGAGGACTGTGCGGGGCAATCCGGGGGTCCAGGGCGGCACAGTGGATCTTCACTGCCCCACGTACTGCCCCGGCGTCAATGCAGGTGACCTCACTCGGACAGAAGAATCTTCCAGAGGCTGGGCTGTTCCCCCTTCTGCCCAGAGTATGGTCTCGCCGGGGAGCGCGGGCGGGGGAACTCGCGCCGCGGACTGGACCATCTGTACAGACGAGCGGGGAGTGCGCGTCCCCGCCTCACAAAAGGACTGGGCCTGGACCAAACCACACGAACTGGACTGAGAGGGGGAACGAAGAGGGCAGGAAGAAATCCCGCCCCAAACTTCCGCCTCCCTTTTCTCTACTTTGTAATTTATTGATCAGTTTCCGATGGGAGATGGGTGCCCTTTCCCCGCGGGAAGGGAGCGGGGCTTCCCTCCCGGGCCGCATGCTAGGAGAGGCTGCCCGCTCCCCTTTCTTCTCCCCAGTCGCGGGGCCCAAGTCTTCCTTCTTCGTCCGAAAGGAGGGGAGGGGGGACTCGCTGCTACAAGCCTCGCCCCACGTGCCACTCATCCCCGCCCCGCCGCCGCATCAGGTCGCCGGTGCCTGGGGTCAGCTGCGGGTGGACCCCTCTTCCTCCCCAGTGTCTCGTCCCCGGGGCCTCTCCGCCCCCCCCGTGCTGTGGCCGTGTCCGTGCCCCGGGGACAAGGGGTGCAGAACTGCGCTCCCGGTTCCCCTCCGGCTCCGGGGTTTGCATGGGAGAATCCTCTTTCCACGATGCCACTGGGCGACGTGGCGTGGGGGGAGGGAGGACGGTGGGGGAGCCCTCGCCCGAGACTCTTGGTCGGCCTCCCTGCCCCAGGCGTCACTCAGTGATCACGGGTAAAGAGAACTGTTTCAAAAAGCTCCCGTGTTGACTGATTTATTTGTCAGGACCTCCAGAAACCGACCTCCTGGAGAACCCAGGGGGCCAGACCACTCCTCCCCCAGACCTACGAGTCTGAGTCTCCCGTCCCCACCCGCGCATTCCGCGGCGCCCTGAGAATCCAGACCCCACTCCCTGACAATGAGGTTTCGGGGGAGCATGTTTATTCATAATTCAATTCAATAAATATGGCTCGTGGAAAGGGGTTGGAAGGCCAGGGAGGGGCGTCTGCGCCGCAGCCGCGCCCCCGGGGGTTAGGGTTCCGGAGTTTCCAGCATATCCGCCAGGGCTCTGGAGAGGAGGACGCGGAGGTTAGACAGCTCACCCCAAGGCTCTTAGAGATGTTAACCTGCCCATTTTACCGACAAGGAAATGGAGTCCCGGTCGTCCAATCACTCAGCGGGCCTGCGCCTTTCTAGACAGGGCCCTTAAACTGCCCCCTCCGCACACTTACTGGTACAGGGAGGAGGAGAAATAGTCGACGTAGCTTCCTGTGGGAGAAGAGAGAAGAGGCTTGAGGGGTACGCCGCAGGTGAAATTAGGCGGCCACTGATTTCACCGAATCCGGAATCAGGACTAGGCTCCGCCTCTCTTTTTCCTAATTCCTTCCCTAAATTGAATTCCTCCATCTGGGACTCCTTTCAAGATCTTGCCCCTCCCTCCTAGCTCAGGGTGTTTCGGTCCTCCGGAAGCCCCCATCCTTCCAAGGCTACCTGCTTTGGCCCCGCCCCTCAACTCCACCCCCCGCCTACTGGGTAGGCCTCAGCACCTGGCCCCACCTCTCTCTCGGCCCAGGCTCCGCCCCCCGCAGCCCGGCTCCACCCTCAGACTCCCAGCCTTGGCCCCGCCCCCGCGCCTGGCCCCGCCCCGCGGCTTCTCGGGCCCGCCTGTCAGATTTGGCTCCGCCTCCGCGGAGCTTGCCCCGCCGGGCTCCGCCCACGCTCACCTGGAGTGCAGATCGTTTCGCAGACCAGCGGGCAGAGGTAGCAGAACTGGCAGTGCTGGGGGTGGGGATGGGGAGGGACAGAAGTGTAAGACAGGGTCGGGGCCGAGCCAGGATGGGGCGGGTACCGCACAGGGGCCCGAGTCCAAGGTTAAGGTCAGAGGTGGGATCGAGTGTGGAGTCAAGGCTGCACCGGGGTAGAGGCTTGGGTCAGTCTGAAGGCAGAGGCCAGGATTTGGGACTGGGTGCCCAGCGGGTCCCCGGCCTCCCTGGGGGCCTGGTGGAACCTGGGTCCGGGGAAAGTGTCACCTGACACTGGTCGCAGTGCTCTCCCATGTTCTCCTCATCGCAGTGACAGTTCTCACATTCAGTGCATCTCTGGGAACGGGAGGGTTCTGGTTTGGGTATATCATTTGGGAGCCATTCTCCAGTCCTCCACCCTGCCCACGATCATCCTCCCCCCCACCCCAGTGAGTTCAGCAGCTTCCCCCTTGTTTCCCTCTTGCAGGGTGACAGCCTGTCTCTGTGGGCTGGACCTGTAGATGTTCTCTTCATGCCTTGTCCTTATTCTCCCCACAGCCTGCCAGGCCCCAGCCCCATTCCACCTGCCCTCTGTCCCCATACTTGCAGGTACAGCTCAGGCCTCACTCCCTCCTGGCCCATTGCCCTAGCCTCCTCCCCAGCTTCCTGGCCTCCAGTCTGTCCCCTACATGGCCCCAGAAGTGTCTTTCTTCAACTGGCACTGCCCCTGCCCCTCCTTTGCTCAGAGCAGGCCCAAAGCACCTTAGAGCCCCGGGACAAATTCCAGGGACAGCCTGGAGGATGGACCTGGGCGGGGCACTCACATTGCAGAAAGAGCAGTAGCCACACAGGGACCCAGGCTGGTAGTTCCCGTACTCCTGGGCACCCTGCAGATCTGTGGGGACAGGAGAGCAGCCGTGAAGCGGCCTGCTCTGCTCCTCCCTGCCCCCACCTGGCCAGATCACTTACCCGTGTCCTCGCCACTCTGCTCCTCACTGGAACCACCTCCAGGCACCTCCCTCCTGGCCATTGGGTCAGGGATGATGGTGAAGGGGAGCTCTTCTTCCTCCAGCCCCTCCTCCTCCTCTTCCCCCTCCCGGTGCTCCTGGTTCAGTAGGGCCCTCTCTTCCCTACTCTCCTCCTCTTCTTCCTCTTCCTCCTGGCTCAGACTGAGGCCGTGACCTTCCTCCTCATCTTCTTCATCCTTGTGGTCCAGGCTGCCATGGCGGGTGCCACCTTCTCCCCGTTCCGAACTTTCATCATCTTCCTCGTGGGAGCCCTGGTCCTCTTCCTCCTCTTCCTCCTCAGAATCTCTCTCCCTCAAATGGCTTCTATCCTTGACCCTCATGTGTTCTGGGGGCTGGTGGCTAATCTCATCTTTGCTGGACCCTCTGTGGCCAGTACCTTCATCTTGGTGGCCTTGTTGCCTGTGGCTGGGAGCTTGGTGGCCAAGCCTGTCAGAGATGTCCTCTTCCTCAGGGACTCTGTGGCGGTGACGGTCAGGGACTGCTGACTTGTATTCATCTGAGAAGTCCTCCTCCTCAGTGTTCTTGGTGCCTGGGGGTTGGGAGCTTGCAACGTGGTGGCTGAACTTGGCTGAGATCTCCTCCTCCTCCTCATCTCCAAGGCCGTGAGTGTGTCTGGGAATCTGGTGCCAATGTTCAGTGGACACAACCTCATCCTCATCTTCTTTGTCTCTGTGGCCTTGGTGTCCGTGGCCAGGGATATGATGATGGTTTTCATCTGAGATATCTTCATCCTCTTCCTTCCCATGGCCTAGGTGCCTGTGGGCATGGTGTCCGTACTCAGTGGACATAGCATCATCATCATCATCATCATCATCATCATCATCTTCTTCTTCTTCGTGGCTTCGGTGTCCGTGGCTGGGGACATGATGAGGATATTCATCTGAGACGTCTTCATCCTCTTCCCTCCCGTGGCCATGGTAACTGTGGGGCTGGTGTCCATACTCTGTGGAGACATCCTCATCATCTTCTTCTTCTCCATGGCCTTGGTGTCCATGGCTGGGGACATGATGGGGATGTTCATCTGAGACGTCTTCACCCTCTTCCCTCCCGTGTCCATGGTACCTGTGGGTCTGGTGTCCATACTCTGTGGAGACATCCTCATCATCTTCTTCTCCTCCATGGCCTTGGTGTCCATGGCTGGGGACATGATGAGGATATTCATCTGAGACGTCTTCATCCTCTTCCCTCCTGTGGCCATGGTACCTGTGGGGCCTATGTCCATACTCTGTGGAGACATCCTCATCATCTTCTTCTTCTTCATGGCCTTGGTGTCCATGGCTGGGGACATCATGGGGATGTTCATCTGAGACATCCTCATCCTCTTCCTTCCTGTGGCCTCCATGCCTGTGGGCCTGGTGTCCATACTCAGTGGAGACAACCTCTTCTTCCTCATCTTCGTCGTCTCTTCTCTGTGGCCTCCACGTCCATGCCTGATGATATGATGGCGATACTCGCTGGACACAACTTCATCCTTGTCCTTGTCCTGTTGGCTGTGGCTTCTGTGGTTGGGGAAGTGGTGCCCGTGCTCATGTGAGTCACCCACAGGTTCATTGTCATGGCCTCCGTGCCCATGGGCCTCCCGAACATGCTCTGTGAAGACCTCCTCATGGAGGACATTCTCGTCTCTGACCTCATGGTCTTGGTACCTGTGGTCTTGGGGTCCGTGGCTGTATTCCCCAGAGACATCTCCATTCTCTTCTCTGTGGTCTCTGTGGCTCCAGAACTGATGTTCATTCTCTGTAGAAACATCCTTGTTCTCATCCCCACGGCCTCTGTGGCTGTGGATGGGATGGCCAGAGTTGCCTACCATGTCCTCCGGGGGCCCCACGACTCCCGCATTGTTGTGCCAGTGGCTGGGGCCCGGCCCGGCCCCTCTCAGCTGCTGGGTCATGGCTGGGGGGAGGAGCAGGCTGGCCACGGCAGCCCAGAGGAGAGTAGTGTGCAGCCATGACCCATGGTGGCCCATGGGGACGGACAAGCAGCAGAGCTTCTCCCAGGGGCCCTCTGCAGCTATGTGGATGAGTGTTGGGGTCCTTGTCCCTTTTGGGGCCCTTCTGGTTCTTTCTGCCTGTGTCTTTGCTGTGTCTCTCACTGCCTTTGTGGGTCTGCCTTCCTCTGGCCCTCGCTGCTGGACACCCCTCCAGGGCAGTCTCCTGAGCCCCCTAACCCCCCTCTCTGGCCCTCCCTCCCCACCTCCCAACCAATAGGGTCTCTCTCCTCCCCCCTCTGTGGCTAAATTTACTTTCAGCCCTGAGTTATTCTGGGTCAGTCCCCGCCTGCCCTCCCCTCTTTCTTCCTCCTCCCAGCTGGGGAAGGGGTAGGTGAAGGGGGTCTCTCCTTAACCAGGAGTGGGGCCAAGGACTTGACTTTGTATCGCCAAAAAGTTCATGTTTGGCAGCTGCAAAGAGGGTGGATAGAATTTGAGTGGGCCAAGTTGGGGGCAGGAGGGACCCCTCCGAGAGGAGAGACCCCTGCCATGGAAGGATTGGGGATTAGATTGCGGGGAGTTTCTGGCCAGAGTGGGACCCTTCGCTGAGAGAGGGAGTGACAGCATGGAGGCTCCGGACAGGGGAGGAAGGAACTTGCTCCAGCGCTCACACCTATGACCTCCTGTCCCTGGGACTCAGAGCCAAGGGCAGGAGAGCAGGCCAGGCCAGGGCTATAAATACAGCAAGGCGGTGGGGGGTGGGGGGGCTCAGGTTACCCAGCAGCTGTCCTTGTCAGAGCTGGCCCAAGACACGTGGCTCTGCCTGTCACTATCTCCCACTCCTCACCCTGCCACAATCATCACAGTAGCTCTTCGGGTTCCCAGCACTCTTTACAGGCCTCCGGCTCTGTCTCTCATTTCTGTCACTCAGTGTTCCCCAGCCATAAGAGTCTATCTTCCTGTTGCTCTGAGCGTCTGCTCTTCACCCAACTCTTTGGGTCTCTCTCTCTCTCTCTCTCTCTCTCTCTCTCACTCTCACTCTCTTTCTCTCTATAAGACAAGGCACCCCCCAAATCTCTGTTCACCCCCTTTCTGATTCTCTGCCTCCTACCTAAGTTTTTGTGTCCCCTCCGTGGATTAATGTCCCCCCTCTCTATCTCTGGCATTCCATATTGGGTCCCTGTCCCCCTCTCTCTGGATCTCTGTCCTCTCTCTCTGGTCTCTAATACCTTAGTTTTGGGTTTCTCTTCCTGCCCCCCCGAATCTCTGTCTCCCTCTCTCTGGGTCTCTGTCCCCCCCCCTCTGGATCTCTGTCCTCCTCTGGGTCTCCGTCAGGCCGGCCCATCTGGCCCTTGGCCCCGCCTCTCCCTCGACGCATCCACGAGACTCCCCGCCCCCCCCAGACCTTGCCCCGCCCCAGGCTGAGCTGGGAAGTGGTGGATCCGGTTTGTCCTGGGCGGGTCTGGAATCGGGGTTGGTGGAGCGAGTGTTGGGGAGCTGGATAGCTTGCGGAGGCTGCGGCGGCTGCGGCAGCATGGTGGGTCCGGAGAAGGAGCAGGTACTGCGGCCGGATTCTCGGGTCTGAAGGAACAAGGAGCCGGGGGCTTGGCCTCCTGGTTCCCAGGGAGGAGGGCGCTGGAGACCCAGATTCTGGGGTCAGACGAAGGAGGGGGCCTGGCGGGGGGAGGCTCCGGAGGTTGGGGGGCTCCGGACCCCTGGGTCCTTTGGGGATAGATAGGAGGGGGGCTAAGGGAGTCCTGAGGCCGGGGAAGGAAGGCACTGGGGTCCCGAACTCCTGGGCCCCGAGGTGCGGGGTGGGTGACTCCGTGTCTGATAGGACTCAGCTGGAGCCCTCCCACCCCTTGTTCCTGTCCCCAGAGCTGGATCCCTAAGATCTTCAAGAAGAAGACGTGCACGACTTTCATCGTTGACCTTACAGATGCGGGGTGAGGATTCGCCCCTGGGACAGACCCCCGGAGCGTCCCCCCAGCGTCCCGGGCCCGCTGCCCCCCCCCCGCCCCCGTCCCCCCCCTCCTGGCACTGCGGACACTCCCAAGGGCGTGCCCTGGTGGCGCTCTCCCTCCGGGTAGGATTTGGGTCCGGCAGACTCTTCCAATTTCCCTTCTCCGGGCAGGGTATGTGTTAGAGCCCCAGGGCTCCGTTCTGTTTCTTTCATTCCCTGCGTCTCTGTGTCTTCTTGCTTCACATTCTTTGTCTTTCTCTTTTGGCTTTCTGTTTCACTCATTTGTTCATTCATTCATTCATTCATTCATCCAAGAAGCCTTCCTTCTGTGCTCCAAGGGAGCATAATTATCAGGAGCACAGCCCCTGCCAAGGTTCAGATGTTACCTGGGACTGGTGCTGTGTGACGTTGGGTAAATCATTTCACCTCTCTGGGCCTCGTCTCAGCTGGACATAAAAGAGGCCCTACCTACTGAGTGGGCATGTATTGGGAGGATTTAAACAAGTTCCTGCTTGTGATATTTCTTGAATGGTGCCTGGCACATGGTTTGCACCAGAGAATGCCTGCAATTATCACCGGAAGGTAGTAGTTTCTACCTTTTGCAGGCCCTGTGCTTGGGCTCGGTGGCCAGGGGCACTTGCATGAGTCCCCTGGGGTGTTTGCCTACCTTGAGGAGCTCCTGGCATTCTGGGAAGGTCTCTCCAGTGGACTCTGGCTTTGAAGTTGTTTTCAAGACAATCTTTGGGGTGTGGGAAATGTCAACATTACTAACCTAGTGTGTGTATGCCATATTAGTGGGGGTTAGCTTACAATGATGTATAAAATAAACATTTACAGATAAAGACCTACATTATTGGGGGTGAGTGCCCGAAACCTCTTTACTGATGGGGAGTGTGGCCAAGACAGTTTAAAGATCTCTGATCTGGCTGGAAGAGGACCAGAAGGCAGGGAGCTGGGAGCTCTGAAAAACATGCAGCTGGGGTTCCACGGGAGCCCTCGAGGAGGGTCTGGCTAAGGCCAGGGAGGGGACCCAGGGTGTCACTGGTGACTTCTGGTGGAGGGGAGCCAGTGAGGTGGCATTTGAAGGATGAGTTGGAATTTGACAGTTGAAGACAGTATGGAGAGAAGAGCGCGGATTCAAAGCCATGGGAAGGGCATGTGCAAACTGCCCCCCATCGACCGTGACAGTGCCCGTTGGAATTGAGAATGGTGCAAAGTTCAAGGAGCAGGAGGCCTCCGAGGAAGAGGGCAGGGCCAGACTTCACTGCCCTCAGGGCCAGGACCTTGGCCTGGGGTGCTGGGGAGTGGGAGGGGCAGGAGTGTCTCTGGGTGTGGAAGGAGCCTCCAGGGGCTGGGTGAGGATGTCACGGGGAAAATTTCACCTACTTTCACAGTTCCAGTCACCATCTACAACTAAGTTGTTTTTTACAACTAAGTTACAACTAAGATCTCTTGAATGCTGGACAGAAGTCCCAGACCCAGGTCTGCGGCGTCCCCTAGTCCTCTGACACTTGAGGGCCCGCATTGAGCTTGGCGACGTTCCCCAGACTCGTTTGTCCTCTTGGATTCCCCATCTTGGGGACAATACCACAGTTCAGGGAGCCGAGGAAGAGGCTGGCGAGGGTCTGAGTGAGCCGGGAAGAGACCTGAGTCAGGCCACCACTGTGGGGACACAGTGTGGGGACAGGGATGCGAGCTTGGGGACTGATGGATTTGAGGAGTAAGAGGGGAGTGGATGGGGGGAGGATGGCTCCCAGACCTCTGGTCCAGGACCTGGCAGACCGTGGGATTGTCCCCAAGATGGGGAATCCAAGAGGACAAACAAGTCTAGGGAATGTCGCCAAGCTCAGTGTGGGCCCTCAAGTGTCAGGGAACTAGGGGACACTGCAGACCTGGGTCTGGGACTTCTGTCCAACATTCAAGAGATCTTAGTTGTAACTTAGTTGTTAAAAAACAAAAAACTTAGTTGTAGATGGTGACTGGAACTGTGAAAGTAGGCGAAATGTCACGGGGGAAAATGTGTAAAGAAGTTGGGGAAGGGGCATGGGCAATTCGATGACTTTTTTTTTTTTTTTGGATGGAAGAGTTTTTTTTTTTAAGATTTTAGTTATTTATTCATGAGACACACACACACACACACAGAGGCAGAGACATAGGCAGAGGGAGAAGCAGGCTCCATGCAGGGAGCCTGATGTGGGACTCGATCCTCAGACTCCAGGATCACGCCCTGGGCCAAAGGCAAGCGCTAAACTGCAGAGCCACCCAGGTGTCCCGAGTTTTTTTTTTTTTTTTTAAACATTTTTTTATTTATTTATGATAGTCACAGAGAGAGAGAGAGGGGCAGAGACACAGGCAGAGGGAGAAGCAGGCTCCATGCAACGGGAGCCCGACGTGGGATTTGATCCTGGGTCTCCAGGATCGCGCCCTGGGCCAAAGGCAGGCGCCAAACCGCTCCACCACCCAGGGATCCCCCTTTTTTTTTTTTTAAAGATTTATTTATTTATTTGAGAAAGAGACAGAGAGAGCTCTCACATGAGCAGTGGGGAGAGGCAGAGGAAGAAGGAGAAGCAGGGCTCTGAGGGAGCCTGATGCAGGGCTTGATCCCAGGACCCTAAGATCATGACCTGACATCATCACCTGAGCCACCTAAGGCAGACGCTTAACCTACTGAGCCACCTAGGCACCCCTGGAAGAGTATTTCTGAAAAAACCTACCACCTCAAGTAACCATAGCCTCCAGCAGCACATTCACTTGTTTTCCACCTGAAGCTGCTTTTTCGTTTTCTTTCTTTCTTTTTTTTTTTTTTTAAAGATTTTATTTGGGGATCCCTGGGTGGTGCAGCGGTTTGGCGCCTGCCTTTGGCCCAGGGCGCGATCCTGGAGACCCTGGATCGAATCCCACGTCGGGCTCCCGGTGCATGGAGCCTGCTTCTTCTTCTGCCTGTGTCTCTGCCTCTCTCTCTCTGTGTGTGTGTGACTATCATAAATAAATAAAAATTTAAAAAAAAGCAGAAAAAAATTTATTTATTTACTTGAGAGAGAGAGAGAGAGAGAGAGAGAGAGAAAACACATTGGAGGGTAGGCAGAGGGAGAGGGGGAAGCAGGCTGCACGCTGAGCAGGGAGCTGGACACATGGGGGCTGGATCCCAGGACCCTGAGATCATGACCTGAGCCCAAGGCAGCTGCTTAACAGACTGAGTCACCCAGTTCTCCTCCACCTGATGGTTCTTTCCCCTAAATTATTTGCTTGGCCCCTGTGGCATTAAGTTTGAGACCCACATGGGGTAGCCATGTGGCCCCAGGGCTCTGGGAACACCTACACTCAAGGGAGGCTACAGAAAGAAAGCCACAGATGAGGCGGGGACTAGGCAGCCAGAGGAGCCTGTGCCCTGCCAAGGGAAGGAGAGGAACTTTAGAACCTGGGACCGATGCCATTCTGTGATAGACACAAGAGACCTGAATAGAGGCCATTATATTTGGGGTTATAGGGGTAATTGCTGATCTTATCAGGAACGTTTCAGCTTTAGTGGTCACGAAGAGGAAGGGAGGTAGGAGGTGAGAAGTGCAGGGTGGGGAATCTGCCAGTTCTGTCCACCAGAACTTTCTGCAATGGGGAAAATGTTCTATGTCCATATCCAATATGGCAGCCACTGGCCGCATATGGCTCCCAGAGCAGTTGAAATGTGGCCAGAAAAAAAAACCAACACAAAAATGAAATGTGGCCAGCATGATCTAGGAACTGAATTTTTAATTGTATTCAATTTTAATTTATTTAAATGTAAAGAGCCACATATGGCTATGGTCTACTATATTAGAAGACAGCTTAGATTCTGGAACATTCCATGAAGTTCTGTCTATAAGGACTAGTGTGAAGTAGATGGAAGGTAATGAGGGGGTCCAGGGATGGGGTTGAGATAGGTGAAAGGATCCAGAGGGTAAACTGAGGCATGTTGGGTCGCTGAAGGTGGACTCAGGAATGAGGAAGGATGTGTTTGTCTTTCACTCTCCCTGTCTCTGGAGCTGGACTGAGTGGATTCTGTTCATCCTGTGTGTGGATTGATGGCCATTCTTTCAGCGTCTTTATAACTTTTAACAAATCCGTGTATCCCCAGTGGTGTTCTTTCATAAAATTGGTCCTTAAGGGGCACCTGGGTGGCTCCGTGGTTGAGTGCCTGAGGCTCAGGGCATGATGATCCCCAAGTCCCAGGATCCAGTCCCACAATAGAGTCCCACATCGGGCTCCCTGCAGGGAGCCTGCTTCTCTCTTTGCATGTGTCTCTGCCTCTGAATGTGTCTCTCATGAATAAATAAAATCTTTAAAAAAAATTGATCCTTAGTCAAGGCTCACTCTGCTTTTTTAATTTAATTTTATTTATTCATTTGAAAGAGAGAGAGAAAGAGAGCATGAGTGGGGGGAGGGGCGGGGGGAGGGAGAAGCAGACTCCCCGTTGAGCAGGGAGCCCGATGAAGACGTGGGGCTCTACCCCAGGACCTAGAGATCACAACCTGAGCCGAAGGCAGACACCCAACCATCTGAGCCACCCATTCGCCCCAAGGCTCACTCTGCTTGTGTAAATTTGGGTGTCCTCCACTATCTGAATCCCTTCTGGAACCAGGGACCAATGAGATTTAGATACATTTTCAAGTAAAGTCTTCATTCCCCAAACCCATGTTATTTGTTCTTTAAAAAGCAGGTGCCAATCATCAGTACATTTATTTAAGGGGTGCAAGGGATACTTGAACATTTAAGGGAAAAAAGGTTTCATCCATGACTATCATAAATGAAAAAACCTCCATTTGCCACACAGAGAAAGAAACCAGCCGGAAAAGACCATCACAGTGAGAAGCAAACGAAGATATTTACCTTCTAGCTGGATGCTGTTGGCAGCCCAATTTTCTGAGCCCAAGGCTGACTTCTCTCTGTTTAAAAAAAAAAAAAAAAAAGGAGGAGCAGGGCTCCTGGCTGTCTCAGTCTGTGTGAGCATGTGGTTCTAGATCTCTGGGCCGTGGGTTCGAGCCCTACCTTGGGTGTAGAGATTACTTAAATAAATGAGGGGGGAAAAAAAAGAGTAGCAAAAGGTTAGGGCCTTAAAGATATTCTAGCACCCAGCTAAACCTCTCTCTTTGTCAGTCATCAGGAATGACTAGAAAAGGAATGACTTTCTGGCCGTGTTATTCAGTGTTATTCGAGGCTATTTAAAGCTCCGGGTGGCCTTCCCCTGGAGTGGGTTCTCCGCCTGAGTCTGGAATGCAGCCCTCATTTCAGAAAACACTGTGTGATTTCACTGACGCTGCCCCATAGTTCCACGAAGCAGGCTGTGTGACCATTGTCTTGATCCAAAGAGGATATGTGGGCTCAGGGAGGTGAGGCCCAAAGTCACACAGGTGCCCCACCCTCTGAGCGCCCTCTAAGCACTCTGGATTTTCCTTTCCGGGTGGAGTATCATCTGTTTGGACTGGGGGCACCCAGGCCGGCCCCTGCTGGCTGCTGGCACTTCTCCACACAGGCCCCGGGCCTGGCAGGTCGCAGGGAGGGTGGGACCCTGGAGACCTTCCCTCCAGCCTCCCTGAACCACTACGGCTTCCTGCTGGTGGACCAGTTGGCTCTGGATGGTCTTACACCCCAGGAAGGGGCAGTGCCAGGGTCAGCATGGACAGTGTGGCTACTTCAGGGGGTGCTTTGATGGGATCCTTAGGGTGTGGAGGGGGCGCCACCCCTGGGGTTCATGCTCTCCCTACCCTCCCCTTCCCAGAGGAACTTTGTGCCAGTGTGGGCGTCCCCGGAGCACCCACCCATCAGTAGCTGTGGAGGATGCCTTTGGGGCGGCCATGGTGACTGTGTGGGACAGTGATTTGCACACCACCGAGAAGCCCACCGATGCCTATGGGGACCTGGATTTCTTGGGCGCGGGCCGCAAGCCCAGCAATGTGAGACCTGCATGTCTGGGCAGGGTTGGGGTCCGCGAGGGGGACTGCATGCCTCAGGGGCTCCCGGAGTCGGTCTTGGGGTGCCACAGCTGAGTGCTGTCTCCCTGTTTGCCCAACCCTGTCTTCACCTCTCCCTGCATCTCTCTCCCTCGACCCCTGTCTTTCTAAGTCTGTTCCCCTCTCTCTGGGTCTCTGTCCCTTCCTCCTGGGTTACAGTCCTCCCACCCTTCTCCATCTGGATCTCTGTTCTCTGTGTCTCTGTCCCTTTGTCTCTGTCTCCCTCTCTCTGGGTCACTGTCCCCTGCCCCATGTCCCCTCCTCCTGTGTGTCCACAGTTCCTCCGGCTCTCTGACCGCACGGATCCAGCTGCAGTTTATAATCTGGTCACGCGGACGTGGGGCTTCCGGGCCCCAAACCTGGTGGTGTCAGTGTTGGGGGGATCTGGGGGTCCCATCCTCCAGACATGGCTGCAGGACCTGCTGCGACGTGGGCTGGTGCGGGCTGCCCAGAGCACAGGTGACTGAGGTCAGGGGGCTGGCCGTGCCTCCCAAGCCCGGGCCACTGCCCATCTCTCCCACTTCTCTGGCATGCAGTCTCCCCCCAGCTCTCAAGGGGTTTTGGTCTCACTCTCTCCTCTCTCTCTCTCTGTCTCTCCACATCCATGTCTCTGACCTCACCGTCACTCCCTGTGTCTCTGTATAGGGGCCTGGATTGTCACCGGGGGGCTGCACAGAGGCATTGGCCGGCATGTTGGTGTGGCTGTGCGGGACCACCAAACGGCCAGCACCGGGGGCACCAAGGTGGTGGCCATGGGCATGGCCCCCTGGGGTGTGGTCCGGAATAGAGAAACCCTCACCAACCCCAAGGTGGGACCCAGAAGTCTTGGAAAAGGAGGGGGCTGGGAATCTTGAGTCTGAGGGAAGAAGGGCTGGGATCAGGATTCCTGGGTCTGAGGGAGGAGGAGGCTGGGGGCCTGGACTCTTGGGTCTGAGGGTGGAGGAGGCTGGGGACCCCGACCCTGGGTCTGAGGGAGGAGGGGCTGGTCCTGCTGGTCCTGCTGGCCCTGCTGGGAAAACACTGGTCTGGTGGCATGTCCCCAGGGCTCCTTCCCCGCGAGGTACCCATGGCGCGGTGAGCCCGAGGACAGGGTCCAGTTTCCGCTCGACTACAACTACTCGGCCTTCTTCCTGGTGGACGACGGCACCCACGGCCGCCTGGGCGGTGAGAACCGCTTCCGCTTGCGCTTTGAGTCCTACGTGGCCCAGCAGAAGACAGGCGTGGGAGGTGAGTGGCCTCCTCCAGTAGGGATGGGGGCGCAAGGCTTGGGTCCGTGGTCCGATCAGCTTGAGGTTTGGGGACCAAAGGACGGAGGAGCTCCCCCAGTCAAGCACCATCTCCCATTATTTGTTCTCTTTTAAAAAAATCTTTATCTCAAAATCTAAACTACAATAAAGTGAATGGCTTGGTGAGATTTTATGAAACTGAACCCATGTGCCAAACAAAGCAGCACCCACATCTCAAAACACTTCACCAGCCCCCAGGAACCTTCTCCATCCTGCACCCCAGGGTTGCCCCAGTGGTGCCTGGAGCCTGGGCAGTGATTCTGGCTGCACCTGGGCTTCATGGGAACAGAATCCTACACAGTCTGCATGTTCTTGAATCTGGCCGGTTATATTCCACATTATTTCTGTGAGGTTCATCCATATCGTTGCACAAGTTGTAGTCTATAAGTAACTCATGGGTCAAAGAAGAAAAAAAAAAGACAAAATATTTTGAACTGGATGGTAAGGAATATATGACATACCAGCACTTTTGGGGTGCAGCTAAATTGGTATCTAGAGAGAAACTTATAGACTTAAATGCATGTATCCAAAAAAGGAAGAAAGGCTGAAAATCAGGGATTTAAGCCTTCAGGAAAAGAAACAACAACAACAACAACAACAACAACAACAACTAGAAGAGCTCTGGCCAGCTCAGTCAGTAGAGCATACAACTCTTGATCTTGGGACCGTGAGTTCAAGTCCTACCTTGGATGTAGAGATAACTTAAAAATAAAATGTGGAAAAAAAATTTTTTTAAAGATTTTATTCATTCATTCATGAGAGACATGGAGAGAGAAAGAGAGAAAGAGAGAGAGAGAGAGAGGCAGAGACACAGGCAGAGGAAGAAGCAGGCTACATACAGGGAGCCTGACGTGGGACTTGATCCCTGGTCTCCAGGATCAGGCCCTGGGCTGAAGGTGGCGCTAAACCGCTCAGCCACCCGGGGCTGCCCTGGGAAAAAATTAAATTAAAAACATCCTAGGAAAAGAACAGCAAGTGAAAATTAGGAAAAGTATAAACAAGGAGATAATAAAGACAAGGGCAGAAAGCCAACAAAATAGAAACAAATGCACAGTGGAGAAACTTAAACCAAAAGCTGTTTGTTTGTTTGTTTGTTTGTTTGTTTGTTTGTTTGTGAGAGACACAGAGAGATGCAGAGACATAAGCAGAGGGAGAAGCAGGACCCTGGGATCACGACCTGAGCTGAAGGCAGATGCTCAACCACTGAGTTACCCAGGTGTCCTGTCTATTCATATTCTTTGCACATATATGAATTGGGTTATTTTTTTTCTTATCTTTTTGAGGGAATTCTTTGTATCCTGTCAATAGCCATGCCTTGTTAAAAATAAAAAGACTTTCGGGACGACTGGGTGACTCAGTGGTTAAGCATCTACTTTCAGCTCAGGGCATGATCCTGGGGTCCTGGGATTGAGTTCCGCATGGGGTCCCTGCAGGGAACCTACTTCTCCCTCTGCTCATGTCTTCGCCTCTCTCTCTGTATGTCTCTCATGAATAAATAAATAAATCTTAAAAAAAAAGATTTTTATTATGGTGTTTATTTCTATAAAAATTCTATTGTTTTTATGTAGTTGGATATATTGTTGTTTCTTTTCTTTTCTTACTATTTTTTAAGAAGTATATTTATTTAAGTCCTCTCTACACCAAAGGTGGGGCTTGAACTCATGGCCCTGAGATCAAGAGTCCCATGCTCTTCTAACCAAGCCAGTCAGGAGCCCCTTTGTTTCTTTTATGGCTAATTGGTTTCCTGTGTTTTTTTTTTTTAATTTTTATTTATTTATTTATGATAGTCACACAGAGAGAGAGAGAGGCAGAGACACAGGCAGGGGGAGAAGCAGGCTCTATGCACCGTGAGCCCGATGTGGGATTCGATCCCGGGTCTCCAGGATCGCGCCCCGGGCCAAAGGCAGGCGCTAAACCACTGCGCCACCCAGGAATCCCGGTTTCCTGTGTTTTAAGAAAGGAAAACCATCTCACACGAATGCTATACAAATATTCTCTGTATGTTTTCTTTTTAGTAGCTTATATTTAAGCCTTTAATCCATCTGGAAATGATTTTTACATGTTTTGAGGAAGGGAGTCTACATTTCTTTTCTTCCAAATGGGAAGCCATGTTGTCTTCACGATCACTTCATAAACAGACACCTCCAAACTCCTCCTACCCCCCTCTTTCCGAGAAGCTGCACTGAATTTATGTGTCGCTTTCTGATAGGTTAACGTGATACTTGTTTTTCCATTTATTCAAGCCTGTCCTTAAGTAAGGATTGTTAATTTCCTCATAAAAATTTCATCCTTTTCAGGATGAATTAATTCCTGGATATTTAACATTTTTATGAAAACAGGGTTAGGAGACATTACTAGTTTGGAGAAAAGTTTTTTGTTTTTGTGTATATTTTTCTGTATCAATCCTCTTACATTCTCTTATTAATATTTATTTATTTTGAGTGGACTCTTTCTAATTTCTAAGAATCTAAATCATGTTTTCTTCCCATAGATACCTTTGTCTCTTCCAGCTTAAAAAGAAATACTAGTTTGCATTCCAACTTTACTTTCTTGCATGACTGCATTAGCTCAAAGCTCCTGGATGGCTGTGGATAGAAGTAATGTTTTCTTGTTTGTTATTTTACTGGGAATTAGTAGAAAACTATCTTACATGATTTTGCTGTTAGGCTTTGGGAAATGTCTTTATTGTATTTAGATAGTTCTTTCTTTCTTTGATTTTATTTTTAAGTAGTCTCTGCACCCACCATGAGATTCAAACTCAAAACCCCAACCCAAGAGTCACATGCTCTACCAACTAAGCCAGCCAGGACCCCTAGAAAGTCCTTATTCCCTGCATTTCTGTTTGACCTTCCATCCTTTCCTCCCCCCTGGGTGGAAATTACAGGAGTGACTCATGTAGTAAATACCTGCCTCATTTGGGAGTCCAGGCCCTCAGCCCCTGCTCCCCTGGGAAGTCAAGTATTACTGTCTTCAAAATCTGGTCCCTTTCAACATGCTCGAAAATGTGACAACTCCCGTGAGCCTCAGGACACAGGATTAAGCAGAAGCTAAGTTTGTCCCAGAGACTCATGGGAAATGTGGTTCTTTCCTGTCCCAGGCAAAGGCTGATGGGAGGTGACCAAGCTCCCATCTCTCTTTTCCTCAGGGACTGGAATTGACATCCCTGTGCTCCTCCTCTTGATCGATGGTGATGAGAAGATGTTGAAGGTAAAGGGTCTAAGTGAGGAGGTGGCTGGAGGCCCTGATTCCTGGCACCTGAATCTTAGGAGAGGAGAGGGCTGGGGATCTGGGCTCTAGGTGGGATGAACACCTGCCTTCCCTGACCTGACTGCCCCTCTAACCTGTAGCAAATAGAGAATGCCACTGAGGCTCAGCTCCCCTGCCTCCTGGTGGCTGGGTCTGGGGGAGCTGCAGATTGCCTGGCGGAGATCCTGGAAGACACTCTGGCTCCGGGGAGAGGAGGGAGCCTGCAAGGGGAAGCCCGGAGTCGGATTAGGCGTTTCTTTCCCAAAGGTGACCCTGAGGTCCTGCAGGCCCAGGTATGACACTGGGAGCTCAACTCTGAATCCTGATATGGGAGGGAGCTGGGGACCTGGGTCCCTCAGTGTTGAGAGATGAGGATGCTGAGGACTTGGAGTCCTGGATCTCAGCAAAGAGGGGATTGGAGGCCCAGACTCATGGATTTGAGAGAGGAGAGGCTCGGGGGGCCCAGATTCCCAGGTTCTGGGAGCAGAGCATGCTGGGCATCTATACCACTAGGTCCTGGAGGGAATGGTCTCCTGTGACTCTGTGGACACAGCCCCAGTGGAGTTGGGCTGGGGTTTGCAGGATGTGGCATTCTGCAGGTGGAGAGGATCATGACCCGGAAGGAGCTGTTGACTGTCTATTCAACTGAGGATGGCCCTGAGGAGTTTGAGACCATTGTTCTGAAGGCCCTTGTCAAGGGTAAGCCTTGGACCCCTGAATTCTTCTCCACTCTCAGCTCAACTTTGGACACCTTTCCCAGCCTGGGCACTTTAGCCATACTCTCTCTAACCTAAAGTTAGGTTCCTTTTTTATCTCTTTCCTTTTTATTATTCCCTTGGCAAGTGGTTCTTGGGGGTTTGCATGGGGCTATTTGGACAGTTTCCCAAGATATTTTCATTATGTATCAACATTACTTTCTGTTAGATACATGCTTTCATCCATCCATCTATATACATTGATCTTTCCATCTACTCATTATTCCATCCATCCTTCATTCTTTTATCCATCCAATCATCCATCCATCATGCCTTCCACCCATCCTTCTACCTGGCCATCCACATATCCATTGACAGTTCCATCCAGTTATTATTCTTCTATTCGTCTATCTATCCATCCATGCATCCAGCCAGCCAGCCATTCATCCATCTTTGATTCATCCATCCATCCATCCATCCATCTATCTACCTACTCACTGTTTCTTCCTTTCCTACATGGCTCCAATATGTTTTAAGCACTGGGGAGTAGGGGAGTCAGATAAACCAGAGCATTGGTGGCCATTGAGGAACTCCTGATATTTTACTACAGGAATGGATGATGAAAGCCAAGGTAGAGAACATAATGGCCATCTGGTAGAGGCTGGGGATGGGGATATTCATTCCAGAAACATCATCCCAGGCTCCAAAGACTAAAGCAGACCCATTTCTTGCTCCGAAGGACCACAGATCCTACCAGAGTTTTTTTTTTAACACAACCTTATGTAAAATTGAAGACCAAAACGTGGAGGGGGAGACCACTGTCAGTAAAGAGACAAGGAGGAGGTGCTATTTATTTATTTATTTATTAAATATTTCATTTATTTATTCATGAAAGACACAGAGACCTAGGCAGAGGGAGAAGCGGGCTCCCATGGGGAGCCCGATGCAAGACTTGATTCCAGGACCTCGGGATCATGCTCTGAACTAAAGGCAGTTGCTCAACCACTGAACCATCCCAGGTGCCCTGGTGTCAGAGTTTAACAGGGAAAACACCCACTTAGATAAAAACTCCCAAGAGGAGGCATTGTGTCAATTTATAATTTGCTCTTGATCCCAGGTCCCCACCCCAGCTGTGTCCATCATGCTCTGTGGTGTGGCAGAAAGAGCAGTAACTTTTTCTTTAAGATTTTATTTATTCATAAGAGACACACACACACACACACACACACACAGAGGCAGAGACACAGGCAGAGGGAGAAGCAGGCTCCATGCAGGGAGCCTGATGTGGGAGTCGATCCTGGGACTCCAGGATCACGCCCTGGGCCAAAGGCAGGCACTAAACCACTGAACCGCTGAGCCACCCAGGGATCCCCAAGAGCAGTAATTTTTGACTTTGGAGTCAGATGAAGCTGAATTGGAATACCAGTTTGGCCCCTCCCTTTCTGCATGACCTTGAGAGAGAAAGAGACTTCCCTTCTCTGGGCCTTACTTAGTTTCTTTCTCTGAAAAGTGGAGATGATATCTTGCAGGAGTGTTGTGAGCCTCAGGGACAGCTTATGAAGTGCCTAGTCTCCAGGGATGGGCCAATAAATGAAAGCTCTCTCTCTCTCTCTCTCTCTCTCTCTCTCTCTCTCTCTCTAAGTAGGCTCCCCAGCGTGGAGCCCAACACGGGGGCCTGAACTCACAATCCTGAGATCAAGACCTGAGTTGAGCTCAAGGGTCGGGTGTTTAACTGATTGAGCCACCCAGGTGCCCAGGGAGCTCTTCTTAATAAAATTCCATTTCCCATGGGGACACATTTTGTAAATAGCGAATGGAAGTCAGCGAACAAATCTGATTCATTTCACAGAAGTTAACTCACAAGCCTCTGGGGAGAAAACAGGGAGACTCTGTAAGAGGTGGTTTGCAGGGATAGTTTTGTCAGTCTGTTACCTGCAGATGTGGAAGGGATCCCACTCTGCTGAGGAAATTGGAGATGGCTGGGCGGGTTCAGTGATAGCAGAGATGAAAGGATGGGGTTTCTGACAGGTGAGGAAGGAAGGAGGAGGCGATTCATGTTCCTTAAGAGCATGTGCACTGGGGCAGCCCGGGTGGCTCAGCGGTTTGGCGGTTTAGTGCCGCCTTTGGCCCAGGGCGTGATCCTGGAGACCCGGGATCGAGTCCCACGTCAGACTCCCTGCATGGAGCCTGCTTCTCCCTCTGCCTGTGTCTCTGCCTCTCTCTCTGTGTCTCTCATGAATAAATAAAATAAAAAAAAGAAAGTTCTAAGAGCATGTGCACTGTGCTGAGCAGTTGGTGTGTATTTGCCCATGATCCTCCAATCCTGCTTGCAGGGGGATGTGGGGCTGGGCAGAGAGAGTCAGGGGGCTAGACGGATGGGATTTGGGGACTGATGAGCTGGAGGATGGTGAAGGACTGGAGGAGCAGGAACAGCACAGAGCAGAGGAATGTGCCTCATTGACTTGGGTCGACAAAGGGGCTGTCCCTGAGATGCAGAACCCAGGGAGGGTGGATTCTGGGGTTAGACGCTGAGCTCCGTATGGGACACAGTGAACGTGAAGGGTGGGGGGGAGATCTAGGTGATAATTGGGGAGACATATTAAGGCAAAATATAAAGCAGGATATTATAAACCTTCTTTTCCCCCTCCTCTTGAAACAATGAGGAAAGTCGGAGAGATTTATAGAATCTTAGAAAATCCCACTGTGAATTTGCTTCTGGGATTTGAAAAGAAATATAGGGTAGGGGCGCCTGGGAGGCTCAGTTGATTAAGCCTCCAACTCTTTTTTTTTTAAGATTTTATTTATTTATTCATGAGAGACACATACAGAGAGAAAGGCAGAGACACAAGCAGAGGGAGAAGCAGGCCCCATGCGGGGAGCCCAATGCGGGACTCAATCCCGGGTCTCTGGGATCACACCCTGAGCTGAAGGTGGTGCTAAACTGCTGAGCCACCCGGGCTGCCCTAAGCCTCCAACTCTTGATCTCTCAGCTCAGGTCTTGATCTCAGGGTCATGAGTTCAAGCCCTGGTTTGGGTTCCATGCCCAGCTTGGAGCCTATATATATTATAATATGTGTGGCCCTAGACATGTGACTGCATCTCTCTGGACCTGTTTGCTCAAGCACTGGCCTTAGCGGTTTCACTGGTCCAGTCACAGAGTCCTCTCTGTTTGCAACTTCATCCCGCAGTTATTACTGAGAACAGTGCTACAGTGTGGGTACCATTATTATTCCCATTTTATAGATGAGGGAACCAAGGCTCCCAAGGTCCAGCAGCTTACCTGAAGACCATCAGTTGGTATTGGTGGAACTGGGATTAGATCCGAGGTCCGCCTGCCTCAGAGCCCATTGTTCATCTGCACTCCACTGGATTGCCTAGTTGCAGTTTTTGAAACAACCAAAATGTGATGAAAGTCCCTCCTTTGTTTTGGAAATTGATGTAGAGCCAGTGGAGGCAGAAGGAAAAACTAACTCCATGGCACAAGTGCGCTGAGAGCTGTCTAGACTTTGCTTGACTTCTTGGAGCCACTGGGGGGTTCAGATTTTTCAGGCTCCTTGTTAACCATAGATGTTTGAATCTGTTGATTTTTGGGTTAAAGTTTTTTTTTTTTTTTAAGATTTTATTTATTCATGAGAGACACACATACACACAGAGAGAGGCAGAGACACAGGCAGAGGGAGAAGCAGGCTCCACATAGGGAGCCCGACGTGGGACTCGATCCGGGGTCTCCAGGATCATGCCCTGGGCCGAAGGCAGGCGCCAAACCGCTGAGCCACCCGGGCTGCCCAAGGGTCAGTTTTTTTTTTTTTTTCCAAGGGTCAAAGTTTTTTTTATTTTATTTTTTTTTTATTTATTTATGATAGTTACAGAGAGAGAGAGAGAGAGATGCAGAGACATAGGCAGAGGGAGAAGCAGGCTCCATGCACCGGGAGCCTGATGTGGGATTCGATCCTGGGTCTCCAGGATCGCGCCCCCGGGCCAAAGGCAGGTGCCAAACCGCTGCGCCACCCAGGGATCCCTCCAAGGGTCAAAGTTTTAAAGGCCTTTTGTTCTTCCTAATTTTTTTTTTTTTGACCTCCAGGATCTTTTTTTTTTTTTTTTTTAAGATTTTATTTATTCGGGATCCCTGTGACTATCATGAATAAATAAAATTTAAAAAAAAGATTTTATTTATTCATGAGAGAGAGAGAGAGAGGCAGAGATATAGGCAGAGGGAAAAGCAGGCTCCATGCAGGGAGCCTGATGTGGGATTCGATCCCGGGTCTCCAGGATCGCGCCCTGGGCAGAAGGCAGGTGCTAAACCACTGAGCCACCCAGGGATCCCCAGGACCTCCAGGGTCTTCCAGAGCCCCTCTGATGTTCGGATTTTTTCCAATCTCATCTTCTGCTGCTCATTTTTCTTTTCTCTCTTCTCACAAATACCCTATGTTTCCAGGAAATCAGAGTGACTCACATTTGCCATCACATCTCATATTTTCTTGCACCCAGACCTTGGCTCAGGCCGCTCCTGTTGCCTTGAAGTTTCTTTTCTCATCTAAGATGCACACCTCCAAATCCTGCCCATCTTTCAAAAGCCCCACCTCAATGCCCATCCTCTAGGAGGCCCCGTGGATCACTCCACACCTCTGTAAGTGTAGCCTCCCCTGGGTCCTTATCCATTTTGTGCCCACCTCCAAGGGCATTAGTCCCTTTGAGGGTAGTTATGTGGTTCCTGGACACATATCTCTGGAATGATCTCCTTCAGGGCAGGAACTGTATCCAGTTTTTCTCCATCCCTCCCATTGGCTGGTCCATAATCTACCTCAATAAACATTAAATGGATAATTGATTCCCCCATTCTTCTTGAGGACTCTAGACTGCTGGTCTGTCCTCTGCCCTGAATTTTAATGACCCTATGCTTGCAATAGCCCGACTTCTTAATGACCCCAGACACCCCCCAACAACGCCCACTATATATGGGGTTTAAATGTCAGGTATCTCACATTGAAACAAAACATTCATCCAAAGTTCCCCTGCCCCCGCCCCCGACTCCTTACTCCTTTTCTCTCTAACTTTCAGCTTGTGGGAGCTCTGAAGCTTCAGCTTACCTGGACGAGTTGCGTTTGGCTGTGGCTTGGAACCGTGTGGACATTGCGCAGAGTGAACTCTTCCGGGGGGACATTGAATGGCGGGTGAGGGGGCAGGCCCGTGGGGCTGTGGATCCCGACAAGGGGGATGCACTCTCCTCCCTCCCTGACTTCTTCCACATCTGGCGCGGTCTTCCATTATGGCCTGTCCAGCCTTCTCTTAATTGTCCATCTGTTCCTATTTTGTTTCCACTCTCCCCATCCAGCCAGCCACCCACCCACCTATCCAGTAGCTCTGCACTCCACCTCTTGTCCTTAACATCTGACCTCACCGGGCCTTCTATCTATGTGCTCATCTCTTCCCCCATCCATCCTGCCCCTGCCAGTCCATCCACCTGGAAGCCTCCCTCATGGATGCCCTCCTGAACGACCGGCCCGAGTTCGTGCGCTTGCTTGTCTCCCATGGCCTTAGCGTGGGCCACTTCCTGACCCCGATGCGCCTGACCCAGCTTTACAGTGCAGCACCCCCCAACTCACTCATCCGTAGCCTTTTGGACCAGGCATCCCACCACTCAGGGACCAAGACCCCAGCCCTTAAACCCTCTGCAGAGCCCCGACCCCCTGACGTGGGGCAGGTGCTGCGGATGCTGCTGGGGGAGACATGTGCGCCAAGGTACAGCGCTGGGGGCGCCAGGGATCCCTACCAGGGCCAAGGCTGCAGGGAGAGCGTAAGGAGAGCCTGCATGGTGGTGGTGGTGGTGGTGGTGGTGGTGGTGGTAATGGTGGTGGTGGTGGTGGGGAGAGGCAGGGGAGGCACAGAAGGAGACCTGGGGGTGGGCCAGGAGGGACGTGTGTGCCTGGACTGGGTGGAGCTGGTGGTTGGGGGGCAGTCAGGTAGGGGCCAGTCCTCACCACGCCTCCTTCTCCTGCAGTTGTGTCTGCTCTCAGATAGGGCCGCCTCTGATCTCGCGCTGGACGCTATCCTTGGGCAGGCCCCCTGGAGTGACCTGCTCCTCTGGGCGCTGTTACTGAACAGGGCTCAGATGGCCCTGTACTTCTGGGAGATGGTGAGTGCTGATCTGATCTCTGATTCTGCTTTCTTCTACATCCCTGTCCTTTATTCCTACTGGACCCCAGTGCCTGAGCTTTAAGGTTCCCTGACCTCCAATGTCACTCGGACCCCCACCCCGTCCTTCATTCCTGATCTATGACTCCAACTGCTGCTCCCCATCACCACCACCGGCACCCCCCTCCCCCCACCGATATCATGCAGTTCTCATAACTTGTTTTTTCTTTAGCAATATGTATTGGGCATTTCTGGTTGTTCATGCATGAGAATTGATCTCATTCTCTCAGAATGATTACCTGTATGAAGAAGTGAGATGTTATCTTGCAGCTGATAGGGAGTCATTTAAACATAGTTACACTTGCAATGGAGATGCGTCATTGTAGTTGTAATGTAGAAGGGGACAAAACTAGAAGCAAGGACACCAGCTAGGAAGGTAGATCTGGAAGGTAGCCTGGGTAGCTCAGTGGTTGAGCATCTGCCTTTGGCTCAGAGTGTGATCCCAGGGTTCTGGGATCGAGTCCCACACTGGGCTCCCTACAGGGAGCCTGCTTCTCCCTCTGCCTATGACTCTGCCTCTCTCTGTGTCTCTCATGAATAAATAAAAAAATCTTTTTCAAAAAAAGGATCTAAGATAGCACCTATTAATGCCATAGAAATATCTTGCCAGGACTTCTTTAGCCTTGGGTTGTTTTCAGCCCAAGTCATGGGTTAAATAGTGATTATTTTTCATTGAGATAAAATTCATAGGGATGCCTGGGTGGCTCAGTGGTTGAGCATCTGCCTTTGGCTCAGGGAGTGATCCTGGAATCTCGGGATTGAGTCCCACATCAAGCTCCCTGCATGGAGTCTGCTTCTCCCTCTGCCTATGTCTCTGCCTCTCTCTCTCTCTGTGTGTGTTTTTCATGAAAAATAAAATATTTTTAAAAAGGGATAAAATTCGTATAACATAAAATTCACCATTTAAACCACCTTAAATTGTACAATTCAGTAGTTGCCTTTAGCACACTCACTAACGGTATTGAGCAACCTCTGTCTAGTTCCAGAACATTTTCATCATCCTAAAAAGAAACCTCATACTGATTTAGCACTGACTCTCCATCCTCCCTCCCCAGCTCCTGGCAATGACTGATCTGCTCCCCGCCACTATGGACTTGCCTATTCTGGATGTCTTATAGAAACAGAATCATCTTATATGTGGCCCTTTGCACTGAATTTCTTACACTTAGCATAGTGTTTTCGTGGGGCATCCAAATTGTAGCATGAATCCGTGCTTCCTTCCATTTTGCTACCGAATAATGTTCTGTAGTATTGATAAATCCACTACGTTTTGTTTATGTATCTTCATCTCTTGATAGTTATATGGGTTGTTTTGACTTTTTGGCTATTGTGAATAATAGTGCTATGAACATTGGAGTACAAATATCTGTTCAAGTCCCTGCTTTGAGGCTCTGAATACATATCGAGGTATGCAACTGCTAGATCATATAACTATTCTAGGTTTAAGTTGTGGAAGAACTGCCATACTGTTTTCCATAGCGGCTGCACCATTTTACGTTCCCACCAGGGATGCACAAGGGTTCCAATTTCTCCACGTCTCCACCAGCACTTGTTATTTTCTGTTTGTTTGTTTGTTTTATAATTGCCATCCCAGTATGGTTTTTATTTGTGTTTCCTTAAGGATTGGTGACATGGAGCATCTTTGCATGTGCTTATTGACCATCTTTATATCTTTTGAGAAATGGCTAAATTCTTTGACCTTTTTTTTTTTAAGAGAGAGAGAGAGCATGAGAGTAAGAGTAAGTGGGGAGGAGTAGAGGAAAAGGGAGAGAATCTTTTTTTTTTTTAAAAAAAAGATTATTTATTTATTTATTCATGAGAGACACACACACACACAGAGGCAGAGACACAGGCAGAGGGAGAAGCAGGCTCCATGAAGGGATCAATGCAGGACTCAATCCTGGGTCTCCAGGACCACACCCTGGGCTGAAGGCGACACTACACCACTGAGCCACTCCGGCTGCCCAAAGGGAGAGAATCTTAAGCAGGCTCCATGCCCAGCATGAAGCCCAGTGTGGGGCTTGATCTCATGACTCTGAGGTCATGACCTGACCTGAAATCAAAAGTTAGATGTGACCCAACCTAAATGACTGAACCACGCAGGTGCCCCAAAACTTGTTTTTTTTTTTTTTTTTTTAAGATTTTATTCATTCATTCATGAGAGACACAGAAAGAGGGAGAGAGGCAAAGACACAGGTAGAGGGAGACTCAGGCCCTACGCAGGGAGCCTGATGTGGGACTTGATCCTGGGACTCCAGGATCATGCCCTGGGCCAAAGACAGATGCTTAGACCACTGAGCCACACAGGGATCCCCTGTTTTTGTTTTTGTTTTAAGACAGGGAAGTAGGGAGGGGCAGAGGGAGAGGGAGAGAGAATCCCAAGCAGGCTTCATGCCCAGCACAGAGCCAGATGCGGGGCTTGATCTCACAACCCTGAGATCATGACCTGAGCAGAAATCAAGAGTCAGATGCTTAACTGACTGAGCCACCCAAGTGCCCCTCTTTGTCCATTTTTAAATTTGGTTTGTTTGTCTTGTTTTTTTTGTGGTTGAATTGTATGAGTTCTTTATATGCTCTGGGTATTAATCCCTTATCAGGTATATAATTTGCAGATATATTCTCCTTTGCCTTGGGTTGTCTTTTCATTCAGTTCATAGCATCCTTTGATTCATCAATAGTTTTAAATTTTGATCAAGTCCAATTTGTGTTTTTCTTTGTTTTTGCTTTTGATGTCATATCTAAGTAACTGTTGCCAAATCCAAGGTCATCAAGTTTTATCCCTATGTTATCTTCTGAGGATTTTATAGTTTTATAATTATACATATAATTATTTAATCCTATGTGTTAATCTTATTGAGATTCCTTATGTGTGAAGAGTCACTTCTCTTTTGCTGATTTTGAGATTCTCTTTGTTTTTGCCTTTCAACAATTTGATTATGATATATTTTTAAAAGATTTTATTTAGGGCAGCCCTGGTGGCGCAGCGGTTTAGCGCCGCCTGCAGCCCGGGGCGGGATCCTGGGGACCCTGGATCGAGTCCCACATCGGGCTCGCTGTATGATGCCTGCTTCTCCCTCTGCCTGTGTCTCTGCCTCTCTCTCTCTGTCTCTATGAATAAATAAATAAAATCTTTAAAAAAAAAAAAAAAAAAGATTTTATTTATTTATTTGAGAGAGAGAGAGAGATAGTGAGAGACAGCATGAGCAGGGAGGAGAGGGAGAAGCAGGCCCCTGAAGCAGGGCTTGATTATAGGACCCCAAGATCATGTCCTGAGTCGAAGGCAGATGCTTAACTGACTGAGCCACCCAGGCGCTCCTGATTATAATATTATTCAATGTGAGTCTCTTTGAACTTATCTTGCTTTGATTTCTTTGCTGTTGGGTGTGTAGATTCATGTCTTTCATCAAAATTTAGGGAGTTTCAGTTCCCCAAACTGAAAATATTCTTTATATATATCTTGAAATATTCTTTATATCTCTAAATATTTTTTCTAGCCCTTTCTCACTGTCTCCCTTTGGGACTCCCATTATGCATAAATTGGTATGGTTGATAGTACCCTGTAGATTGAGAGAGAGCAAGAGCAAGAGTGAGAGAGCATAAGTAGGGTGAGGGGCAGAGGAAGAAGCAGGCTCCCTGCTGAGCAGGGACCCAATGTGGGTCTTGATCTCAGGATTCCTGAGATCATGACCTGAGCTGAAGGCAGATGCTTAACTGACTGAGCCATCCAGGCATCCCTATTCTTAGTTCTTTCTGCACCCCAAACTGGATAATCTCAATTGATCTGTCTTCAAGTTCATGCATTCTTTCTTCTGCCTCCTCAAAACTGCTGTTGAGCCTTCTAGTGAATTTTTCATTTCACTTTTTAGCCCCAGAATTTCTTTTTTTTTAAGATTTTATTTATTAAAAAAAAAGATTTTATTTATTTATTCATGAGAGACACAGAGAGAGAGGCAGAGACATAGGCAGAGGGAGAAGCAGGCTCCATACAGGGAGCCCAATGTGGGACTCGATCCACGACTCTGGGATTACACCCTGAGCTGAAGGCAGATGCTCAACTGCTGAGCCACCCAGGTGTCCCAAACCCCAGAATTTCTACTTGTTTCCTTTTTGATAATTTCTGTCTCTTTATTTTTATTCTTTGTTTGGTAAGACATCCTTCTGGCTTTCTTTCATTTTTGTCCACAATTTCCTTTAGCTTTTTGAGCATATTTAAAGCAATCTATTTGAAGTTTTTGTGTAGTAAGTCCAATGTCTGAGCTTCCACAGAGATAGTTCCTATTGATCTTTTTTTCTTTTCTTTTCTTTCTTTTTCTTCCTGGGAATGTGCCATACTTTCCTGTTTTTTCGCATGCCTCATAGTTTTTCGTTGAAAACTGGACATTTTGAGTATTATAATGTGGCAACTCTAGAAACCAGCTTACTCCCTTCCTTCAGGGTTGTTGCTTGTTGCAGATTATTGGTAATGGTGTTTGTTTAGTGATTTTTCTAAGCTATTCACGTGAGGTCTGTATTCCTTGTCATGTATGGCCACTAAAGTCCCTGTTCTGTTAGCTCATTCTCTGACTCATCAGAGAATTCCTTAAATGCCCAGGCTGGGAGGGAGGGGGAGCAAAATGCTTTGGTTTGCAGATTGGCTCTATCTTGGGGCTTTATTTCAATACTTAGGCAGGCTGTTTACAGTTTGCCTTAGCCTTCACTTCCTGCTTTTACTGAGGCAAAAGGTCAGCAAGATGTGAAAGCTTAGGATTTTCTCTGGTGTTTTCTTCTCTTCTTTTTTTTTTTTTCCTCTGGTGTTTTCTGAGTGTACACCCAGCATTGGTCATGTGTGTAGCCTTCTAGTTTCCCTAATAGACATAGGAGTTTTTCAAGCCCCTTATTCCTTGGAATATCTCCTTCCCCAGCCACTTCCCTCTCCAGCTGTCCAGTTTTTGCTTGACTTGTCTGTTATTCTTTGCTTTGGGCAGCTGAGGCTAATACAGCTTGCCCTTAAATGATTTATATGCTTTCCCACCACCTGGGAAGCCATTTCTGCTTGGAGGAAACCCCAAGAACAGTGAGACAAAGGCAAGCCCTTGAGCTGTTCCTTCAAGGACAGCTAAGTCCACACATAGAACCACAATTATTTAAGAGTGAGATCTGAGGGCAGCCCCAGTGGTGCATCGGTTTATTTAGCGCTGCTTGCAGCCTAGGGCGTGATCCTGGAGACCCTGGATCAAAGTCAGGCTCTCTGCATGGTGCCTGCTTCTCCCTCAGCCTGTGTCTCTGCCTCTCTCTCTCTGTCTCTATGAATAATAATAATAAAAAAATCTTAAAAAAAAAAAGGAGTGATATCTGAGTTGCCCCCTTGGGGAGCAACAGTTTGCACCAGGAATGGGGGCTGTCACCTTCTGGGCTGTTGCCTTCCAGGCTGCCCTTGAGCTGGGAAGTTGACAGTGGGAGTTAAAATGTCATGATGCTCTTTTACTGAAACTTGGTGTTTTCTTTCTTCCTTGAGCTTTCTCCTGTTCATTGTAAGTTTTATATTCAGTTCTGGAATTCTGGGAAAGTTGACTCTGACAGTTTTTGCCAGCTTATCTGTTGCTTTTATGGAAAGACAGAATTTTGAAATTCTCTACTCTGCCATTTTAGGGGACATCTCCTGCTGCTTCTTGACCTGTCTGTAGCCTCTGATGTCATTCTAACTCTGTCCCAGCCCTTGGTCCCTGAACTACCTGACTTTTGACACTTTTCACCTGATGACCAGCTTCTTCCAGATTCATCTACACACATTGCCTCATCCTTGACTTCTAATGAACCTGGTTAACTTATGACTTCTGGTTCTGTCCCTCTGTCCCTTTGCCTTGACCCCCACCTCTCCTCCTTCCCCCCGCCCCCCTGTGAAGCTCACTCTAAACTCTATCTGTCACTCTGTCTCTGTCTCCCCAGGGCTCCAATGCTGTGGCCTCAGCTCTTGGGGCCTGTATGCTGCTCCGAGTGCTGGCACGCCTGGAGTCTGAAGCTGAGGAGGCAGCACGGAGGAAGGACCTGGCAGCCAAGTTTGAGGGTCTGGGTGTTGGTGCGTAAGGCTTGGGTGCGTGGGGGTGGGGACAGGAGCTGCCAGGCAGGGGGTTGTGCATCTCCCCACTTTTCCTCCCGAAACCCTGTGTCTTCACCTTCCCCTCCTCATCTTTCCCCTCACACCATCTCCTCACTCCCTTTCTTTCTTTCTTTTTTTTTTTTCCTCACTCCCTTTCTTTTCTCTCACATAAATCTCCTGTCCCCAGACCTTTTCGGTGAGTGCTACCGCAGCAGCGAGGAACGGGCTGCCCGCCTGCTACTCCGACGCTGCCCACTCTGGGGGGATGCCACCTGCCTCCAGCTTGCCATGCAGGCTGATGCTCGTGCCTTCTTTGCCCAGGATGGGGTACAGGTGAGCATCTGAGGTGCCAACATCCCACACAGTTCCCACCTGGACTTTGGGAAGTATGGAGAATAAGCCCCTGCCATTGTGGGCAGTGAATGGTCTTAATCAGCCCCCCTCCCCCTCGGAGACCACTGGAGGTCCAGAAATTCTCTCCCAGAAGGGCTACCTTTCCCCTAAGGAGCCCCACCCCCTCCCACAAGGAAGCCAACCTTCCCACAGCAAAGCCCACCCTCCTGAAAAGTTCTATTCCTAAACAGAAATTCCTGGTGACTTCAGGAAGTCCCATCTGTCACACAGGAATTGCTCCCAACTCCCACAGGAAATACCACTTCTCCCAAAGGAAGTCCTGCGTCATCCATAGGAAGGCCTGCATCATCCATAGGAAGTCCTTTCCATTTCCTTCAAAGGTCCTCAGTTCCAGATGTCAACAATTACAATGACCTCACTGAACAATTACCTCATGTTTGGGGCATAGACTAACTCTGGTTTAGTAATCCCACCCTTCCCAGAGGAAATCCTCTCCTTGGGGAAGCCCTGCTTGCCCCACAGTCTCTCCCACAGTGTCCATCCTGACATCTGAAAACTTTTCTCAATATCCTTAGTGTAAATCTGACAAGGGTGTGGCACCTGGCTGGCTTAGTTGGTTACAGCACATGACTCTTAATCGCAGGGTCATGAGTTCAAGCCCCACCTTGGGGTGTAAAGCTTGGTTAAAAAAATAAAAAAATAAAAATCTGACAGCAGGTGCTCAGAGAGTACCACCCTCAGTACAGGAAATCTGCTTACCCCAAAAGGAAGTCCCATCTTCACATGTCAGAATGGTTTGGCTGGCATTTCAAGTAATTACCCAGAGTCCATTGCTTTGAATGGTGGTTCAACTCATGGATTCCAGCTTGGGCCTCTTCCTTGACCTCCTGCTGCCCCATCTGTGAAAAAGGAGAAAACATTCTTCCCTGTCCTGGGGGTGTGGTGGGGATTAAGTGGGCTGATCTGTGTGAAGTGCTTAGCTCGGGATCTGGCACGTTGTGTTCATAAATGTTGGCTGTTTAACTATACCAGATAAAACCTGGGACAGGTCATCCTCACCTTTGACCCCCTGCCCCCCACCCCCAGTAGTTACAGTTGGCATATTGGGCACTTGCTCTGTGTGCTCCTGCTGTGGCCCAGTTTTTACCTGGGGTCTTTAGAGAGGGCTGTGGGGCGATTCAGGCTCCTAATCCTCATCACACCCCACAGTCTCTGCTGACACAGAAGTGGTGGGGGGAGATGGACAGCACCACTCCCATCTGGGCCTTGGTTCTCACCTTCTTTTGCCCCCCACTCATCTACACCAACCTCATCACCTTCAGGTCAGTTCCCTTGGGTTAGATGGGCAGGAGGGGGATGCTCAGTTTCTCCTTCCTGCTCACTTCGGGCTGCCTTCCTACTTGGTCTTTCCAGTGCTTCCCCTCCCTGTTTGCTCTCTTTCTGTCCTCCAGGCTGGGGGCATGTCTGGGAGGTGAGCTTTGCAGCAGTAGAGGGCGGGGGTGTCTCTGCAGTGTCTTTGGGGAGCATTCCTCTGCCCTCTGGCCATGGCTGTGGGGGAAGATTTCTTTTGGGGTGACTGGAAAGCACCTCACTGTCTCCCTGCCATGTCTCTGGATGAAGAAGTTTGGGTCTCTCTTTGGAGAATTCTTCCCCTCGCCCCTGCTCCTGTTCTTCACTCTGTGCTTTCCTTCATGCCAGGAAGTCAGAAGAGGAGTCCATCCAGAAGGACCTGGAATTTGACGAGGATCGGGGCATCAATGGAGAAGGCCCTGTTGGGTGAGTGAAGCCCCAGCACCCTGTGAGGTAGGGCATCTGAGGCAGCTTCATAAACACCAGGTGCTGGGAACAAAGCCAGAGGGGAGAAGTGGAGTTTCAGGGGGTGACGGCTTCGTGAAGCCACTGAAGATCCCGAGGAAGCAGCCCCAGGCTCGAGGCTTGGGTTTTGGTTCTGCCACTGAGGAGGTCCTCCCTGGAAACCAGTTTACTTTATGCTATACATACTTCCATCTTGAAGTGGAATCTTCCCTCTTGCAAAAGGAATCAGGTGGATTTGGCCCATTTAGGGATTTTTCATCTTTTTTTTTTCTGATTCCAGGACCTTTGCTCTTAATCTCTATGCTGAGGTACCCGGACCTAAGCAGATAGTCTCTCAGACTTCTGATAATGCCACAGAGTGGAGGTGCTGAGGGACTTGGGTGTGAGCCGAACAGATCTGGGTTCAAATCTTAACTTTGACCTTAGAAATGACTTCACCTTGAGCCTCAGTTTTCTTTTCTATAAAACGAATATGCATTGAAGGTTGTGCCTGTGGCAGGTTAGGTTGGGCAGTGCTGCATCTAGGGGTGCCTGGGTGGTGCCGTCAGATGAGCTCCTGACTCTTGGTTTCAGCTCAGGTCGTGACCTCAAGGTTATGAGATAGAGCACAGCATCAGGCTCTGCATAGAGTCTGCTTGCGATTCTCTCTCCCTCTCCCTCTGCCTCTCCCACTGTGCATTTGCTCTCTCTGTGTCTCAAATAGGTAAATAAATCTTAAAAAAAAAAATCTTACATGCTCAGTGACTGTCAACAACGAAGCCTTACTTCTCATGCTCCATTTTTGGGCTGTCTGTGTCTCGGCTCCAGTATGGATTCCACTTTGGAATGAGTGAGCCCCTCCTAGCTGAGATGTTGCTGGTCTCATAGCAGAGGAAAAGGAGAAATGATGAACCAGGTACTGGCTCTTAAAGCCTCCACGTGGAAGAGAGACACATGTCACTTGTGCCTATATTTCCTTGGCAAGCGTGAGGCATATGGTAATTCCTTAGCTCTTGATCCTCCCACTGAGAGGGAACCAAAATATTTGGTGCAGCGTAATACAGTGTGCCCCAGTGCCTGATGGGGCAGTTGGGGGGACATGTGGAGATAATGTGTAAAATGCATCATAGTGTCCAGCACATAGTAAGTAGTCAAGCAGTGGAGTTTATTATTGCCACTGCTGTTATCGATGCATTTCTCATTTATTTTGTTGAATGGTGTGTAGGTATCAGGGTCTAAGTCTCTGGTAATAGAAGAAGAGAGGAAGACTCACACATTTATGCTTATCTTTCTACCTTCCATTTCTACTTTAGCCACTTAGGTGAGAAAAGGGAGGAATCCCGGCCCCCAATATCCCAGAAGAAAAAATGTTTCTGGTAACTGTTAGAAACATGATCAGAAGCCAGATATCTGTAAAACCTACTATATACCTCAAGGAGCAAATAGAAATATATCTATGCAGACTTATTTTTCTGAGACAATACACAATGAATACAGTGTATTTGTCAAGATAGAAGAGAAAACTAAGAAAAAAAAAACTGAAACCACTGGAAAAGGTTGGAGAGAAGTCCCCAGTGTCAGGATCAGTAACGATGTCCTTGCCTAGTGAGTTCCCAACTTTAGCACCATGACAGTGATGAAGGAAGGTGACAATAGCCACTTACAGAGGGTAGCCAGTGTACTAAATCCTTTTTAAAATCAATTTATTGGGCAGCCCCGGTAGTGCAGCAGTTTAGTGCCGCCTGCAGCCCGGGGTGTGATCCTAAGGACCTCGGATCGAGTCCCATGTCGGGCTCCCTGCGTGGAGCCTGCTTCTCCCTCTGCCTGTGTCTCTGCCTCTCTCTCTGTGTCTCTATGAATAAATAAATAAAATCTTAAAAAAAATAAAATAAAATCAATTTATTTAATTTTCTCAACAACCCTATGCAATAGGGTGTATTATTATCCCCGTTTCACAGATGAAATCACCAAGGCACTACTCAGATCATGTGATTGCTAAGTATGTAGAACTGGGGTTTGAACCCAGATCTTCTTGTGCCTGAAGCTGTGCTCTTAGCCACTATGGAGAATCAGCTCCATGGCGAGCTTTGTAAAAGGATGGATTCCTTGATGCTCCCCCAAGGAGGCTTGGGATGAGTCCAGGAATCTGTGTGGCCTGGTGGTGCCTGATTCAAGATAGAAATGGCGGGGAGCATTCTGACCACATGTTCTTGTTCCCTGGACCCCACAGAAGGGGAAATGCAAAATACCGGGTCTGTTTTCCCTTAACTTTAGGGAAATTTCTGTCCTCTCTGCATCTCACTTTTCTTTCACTTTTATAATTCTTTCCTTTTTTTTTTTTAAGATTTTATTTATTTATTCATGAGAGACAGAGAGAGTGAGAGAGGCAGAGACACAGGCAGAGGGAGAAGCAGGCTCCATGCAGGGAGCCCGATGTGGGACTCGATCCCAGGACTCCAGGATCACGCCCTCGGCTGAAGGCAGGCTCTAAACCGCTGAGCCACCCAGGGATCCCTAATCCTTTCCTTTTCTTGAGAACCACTTTACTGAGATAAAATCCACATATCGATCAACTCACCCATCTAAGGTGTTATAATTAGTTTTTAGTATATTCACAGAATTGTGCAGTTGTCACCACAGTCAATCTTAAAACGTTTTTGTCACCACAGGAAGAAACTCTGTACCCCTTTAACAATCACTCCTTACTGCACTCTCCCCCCAACCCTTCACAGCCAATAATTTTCTTCCTCAATGAATTTCCCTATTCCTGACATTTTTTTTAAAGATTTTACTTATTTATTCATGAGACACACACACACACACAGAGGCAGAGACACAGGCAGAGGGAGAAGCAGGCTCCCTGCGGGGAGCCTGATGTGGAACTTGATACCAGGAACCCGGGTCACGACCTGAGACAAAGGCAGACGCCCAACTGCTGAGCCACCCAGGTGTCCCTGTTCCTGATGTTTTGTACGAATGAAGTCATACACTATGTGGTCTTCTAAGATTGGCTTCATTAACTTAGCATCATGTTTTCAAGATTTCTCCATGTTGTAGCACTCATCCTACGTTCTCCATTCGTAATGTAATCTCACATTCTCCACTCATAATGTTCTCCATTCCTTTTTAGCATTAAATAATATCCTGTTGTATGGATAGACCATGGATCAGTTGATGGACATTTGGGTTGTTTCTGCTTTGGAGTTATTATCCTCCTGCTTGGTGTATAAAAAGAAGATGCCTCACCAGACCAGTTTATCTTTCCTGTTAGCTTGTTGGGTTTATTATTATTTGTATTATTCATTTTGGCATTTCTGATTTGAAGTCAGAAGGAAGCGTCAGGATGAAATTGGGACAGAGGGTCAGAACTGGGACGAGAATGGTCAGAGATAGGAGTAGAACAAGGTCAGAATTCAGAAGCCACATATGGCTGTATGGTCCAAGGTCAGATACGGGAAACACTGGGCTAGACAATCTGACATGAGAATTTGTGGGTCAGAAGTTAATATTCAGGTACACAGGTGTCAACCCTGGGGAACCGAGGTCATGAAAGTGAGGGGATCAGAGGTCAGATAGATGGTCTGAGGTCAGACATATGTCAGAGGTTATAAAGATGAAAGAAGAGGGATTTGGAGTCAGACCAGGGTCAGAGGTCATCACAGGAGCCAGAGGTCAGATGGTGGAGAAGGTCAGAGATGGAAGGTCAGCAGGCTTGACGGTAGATTTCAGAGGTCAGAGGTCAGGTACAGGGATCAAAAATCAAGGAGATGACAGACAGGGACTTGGTTTCAGGTCAGGCAAGGTTAGAGGTCAGATGTGAAAGGTGAGAGGTCTTGATGATGGTGACCAGGGGCTCGGAGGTCAGGCTGAGCCCTTCTCTTTCCCTCCCTCTCACCCCCAGGCCGACGGAGCCCCCCGAGAAGACAGCTGTGCGGGTGCTGGGGCAGCGCAGGCCCAGGGGCTGCTGCAGGAGGTGCCCCCCGCGCCTACGCCGCTGGCCTCAGTTCTGGGGAGCGCCAGTGACCGCTTTCATGGGCAACGTGGTCAGCTACCTCCTCTTCCTGCTGCTTTTCGCCCATGTGCTGCTCATGGACTTCCAGCCCAAGGCGCCCGGAGCCCTGGAGCTGCTGCTTTACTTCTGGGCCTTCACGCTGCTCTGCGAGGAGTTCCGGCAGGGTCTGGGTGGCGGCTGGGGCAGCCTGACCACCCGGGGGCCCGGGCCTAGCCCCCAGCACACCCCGCTGCGCCGCCGCCTCAGCCTCTACCTCTCAGACACCTGGAACCAGTGCGACCTGGTGGCCCTCGCCTGCTTCCTCCTGGGCGTGGGCTGCCGGTGAGTGTCCCCGCCACCTGCCTCCGATCCTCCCTGCTGGGCTCCAGTCCCCTGTGATTCTTCCTTCTTGATCGAAAGCACCACATCAGGATGGCCCTAATGGGTCGCTCGCCCCTGGGCATCTGGTTTTAGGGACAGTGGGATGGGATTAGGGATTAGAGCTGGGACCTCATTGCCCTGGCTGCTGTTTCTCTAGATCTACAGGTTGGCGGGCTGCTCTCTGGTCCCTGGTCTTGGCCCTACTGCTGAGTGCAGTCCTCCCCCAGGCACCAGGCCAGGCAGGGGCGCCCCCTCTCCCTCCCCTCTGCTTCCCCAACCTGCCCCCTCACCCCAGCCTCCTGGACTCCCCTCTTTCCTCCAGCCTATCCCCCCACAAGGGTCTTTCTACTCCCAGATCTGCCCTGCTTGCTTCCCGGGGCTGCCCAGTGCACCCCGGGCCTGGTACTGGGGGTGCTGCTTGGTGCTGGCCGGCCCATCTCTTTCTCTTTTCTTCATCCAGACTCTAGCTCGAGCAGCTTGCAACTCCTACCTCACAGTGACAGGGGCTCTGACCTCCATCCTAAATACTTTGTGTAATTTTAACAGTGAAATGAGAATATTACCTGTACCCATGAGCTCTCTGTCTCTCTCTTTTTTAAAGATTTTATTTATTTATTCATGGGAGACACATACACACAGAGGCAGAGAAATAGGCAGAGGGAGAAGTAGGCTCCCTGCGGGGAGTCTGATGAGGGACTTGATCCCAGGACCCTGGGATCATCACGGAGCGGAAGGCAGACGCTCAACCACTGAGCCACCCAGGTGGCCCTACCGATGAACTCTTATCAGGGAAGTGTGTTACAGGTTCTGCAAACTTCCTTGATCAGTTATACGCAGGGCAGTTACACTCCTTTTAGCCATTTTCATTTTCAGTTTCTGAAATTATTTTGACTTTGTGAATTATTATTTGGGTTAAGTTGTACAAGTATTTGGCTCATCATTGGTGTTGTCTGTATCAAATTTTGCCAAAATCTAGGTCTGTGTTTGTCAATATTACTTTGTGGCTTTTATGTCATTTGTGCCCACTCTTCCTGGGTCAAATTTGATAGATTCACTTTTTTTTTTTAAAGATTGAAAAATTTTTTTAAGTCATCTCTACACACAACGTGGGGTTCAAACTCCCATTATCTGAGACCAAGAGTCCCATGCCCCTTAGGACTGAGCCAGCTAGGCACCCCTACAGATTCATGCCTTACCAGGGAAGATTGAATGTCTGTTGCCTGTTTCTTCTTATCTCTTACCTAATTTATATTTTTTTAAAAATTGTCAGGAATTCACCTCAAACATTTTCTGTTGTGGCTATGTCATGTTAGTTCATTTTTTCCATGCCTTCCAGATCATACTGTGTGGCTCCCAGAGAGAGGGCAAAGGGTGCCTCAAAACATGCTTGGGGACAGATTGTCTTGTCTTTGCGTCTTGGCACGTGCTGTTCCCCTTCTTGAAACACTTTTCTGTCTTCTCCTTGGCCAAGCCAACGCCTACACTTCCTGTAGGCCTCTGCTTTGCTGCTTCGTCTCTGGAAGTCTTCCTTTACCCTTGCCAGACTCTGGGTCCCTCCCAAACAGAGCTCTCAGCATGGCTTGTGTGGTCATTCTCCTCACCCAAGGTTCTAAACTCCTCAAGACACATCCATCGCATCTCCCGTAAGCTTATCTTTGAAACACAGCCTATTACCAAAGACATGCAGAAATGTGTCTGCAGTGAACACGATTAAACAAATGAAGGCCATACAACAGAAACCAAGTCTTTCCAAAACTCCTGCTCTCTTCTCTGTGTCTCCGAGTTTGGTGCATGCTCCGCTTGTTCTTTCTATGCTTTTTTTTTTCTTTCTATGCTTTTACATGGACAGATGCACATACTTTTATAAACCAATGACATTCTATTTCATATATTCTTCTGCAACCTTTTCTCTTTCCTTTTTAAGACATCCTGACATGCTTTCCATGTCAGTATTTGCAAATAGACCCTAGTCGTTGAAAATGTGGCACCAGATTCCAGAAGAAGGGGTTTCTGCCGTCATTGGCTACAGATCAGACAAGACAGACTCCTCCTCACCACAATGTGAGGAATGAATGAGTTCTTTTCATAAGGCCGTGAGACAAAAATTCTAAAACCTCAAGAGGTAGAAATTAAGCCAAAAGTCTGGCCACAAAGTCTCATTTTCTACTCAAGGTAACATGAAGTTATAATCAGATATTGGCTAATGAGGTTTCTTTTCTTTTTCTAGTGAAAAAAGCAATTAGGATACCCTCCTTTTGAGGAGAGCAGACAAAAAGCTTTGTGGACACAACCTAGTGACTATTTCCAAGGACTGAAGGGTCCTGACACCCGGTTTATAATCTGGATTGTTGACAGCAGTGATTCCCAACTCTCCGTTGACACAGAGGCTTGCTTCCTCTGTGCTGTGTTCGAAATACTACAGAGTAATTCAGCATGAATAATTTATTCCAATAGCAAAATAAGAGAGTTTTGCAGGACACTATGCTTCTGTTTCTCTCTTGTATTTTGATTAAAGTATCTTTTGAGATGAAAGGGTCATGTGCTTTAGGAATACTGGTGATATTTTAGACATTTTGTCAAGCTCACTGTTTTCTAGGTGAGGGAAGAATTATTGCATATTTTTATTGCATAAAAAAATATCTGAAGCTCTCTGTTTATAAAGGAGAAATTCCTGATGATCTCCAGAACTGAATGGATAAGTCATTTTATTTTGCCCCAGCCCCTTTCAGATGGACATTTTGGTTGTTTCTAGTTTTTTTGTTTTTGTTTTTTTTTTTTTATTCATGAGAGACAGAGACACAGACAGAGGGAGAAGCAGGCTCCATGCAGGGAGCCTGACGTGAGACTCAATCCTGGGTCTCTAGGATCAGGCCCTGGGCTGAAGGCAGCGCTAAACCGCTGAGCCACCCCGGCTTCCCGGGTACATATATTCTTGACGTGGATAGATTTCCTTGTAAAATAGCTTCACCTGCATACACGCCCATCTTCAGGGTAAGAGGGACTCCCTTGAGGACATGCCTGACAATACCAGGTATTTTCAATCTTTAAAACCTTGTAGTTCTCAATTTAACCTTCAGATTCTTTTGTTTCCTATTCTGATGGGTAAAAATGACTTCTCTTTTTAAAATTTATGCGTCCCTGACTACTAGTTAGCTTGGGCATCTGTTCATAGCAAATGGCCACTTGTACTTTCGTCAATGTCTTTTCATAGCCTTGCTGCCATTTTAGAAAATACACGCTCGTTTATGTTTGTTGATCTCTTGTATATGTGTATGGGTAGGTGCTCTTCTAAGCCTTGGTGTTTTTGTTTTTTTTCAGATTTTATTTTTATTTATTTATTTAAAAAATATCTTTATTTATTTATTTGAGAGAGAGAGAGAGAGAGAGCACAAGCAGGGGGTGGGGCTTGATCCCAGGACTCTGGGATCATGACCTGAGCTGAAGGCAGATGTTTAAACAACTGAGCCACCCAGGCACCCCAATATGTTATTTTTAAATTATGTCTACACCCAACATGGGGCTTGAACTCACAACCCCAAGATCAGGAATCACATGCTCTGCCAACTGAACCAGCCAGGTGCCCGTAACTCTTGGTGGTTTTGTTCTAAATAACTCCTGTCTGCAGCTTGTCTTTTTACTTTTGTGTATTACGTTAAACATTCTTTTATTTTTTAAGTTTGCACCCTGAAATAACCTAAGACTTATTAAAAAAATGTGGCAAAAACACCACAAAGCATTCCTCCAACACCTTTCACCCAGATCCCAAGATGGCAACATCTTTCATTATTCAAACCAGATCTTACTTCACTGATTTTCCCACTGGTATCCTTCTTCTGTCCCAGGAGCCAATCTGGTTCTGCAATCCTTGTTTGGCTTTTATGATCTTTATACTTTTGAACAGTCCAGGCCAGTTATTTTGTAGGATTTGCCTCCATCTGAGTTTGTCTCAGGTTCCCTTGTGATCCAATTTAGGCCATGCACTTTTGGCAGATATTTTTGCCTTTTTCCATTTATCATATTTATGTTACCTTTAGATGCATGGAAGTTTTATATTTCAGAGTAAATTCATCAGTCTTTTCCTAAATTGTGATTTTATACATATTACTTCTAGAAGGCTTTTGTTTTGTGATATCCTATCAAGCTCATGAAGAAATTCTTCTATATTTTCTTCATATTTTAATGTTTTGCTCTTTACTCTAGTTTTTTTTAAGTACTTTTATTTTTTTTTATAAAGATAAAAGGGAGGGGCAGTAGGAGGGAGAATCTTTTTATTTATTTATCTGTTTGTTTGTTTATTTATTTATTTGGAGGGGAGAGAGAATCTTAAGCAGGTGCCACACTCTGCACAGGAGCCTGATGTGGGGGACTTGATCTCATGACCCTGAGATCATGACCTGAGCCAAAAATCAAGGGTGGAGGCTTAACGAACCACCTAGTGTCCTTTGCCTTTTACTTTAGGTTTTTAATCTGTTCAGAGTTCAAGGAGGTGATGGGATATACTTTTTTATTTTCTCCATAGGAATTGCTGATGTTATTGGCCATTTCACCTTCCTCTGTGAATGTGTGTTCTCTTTATCCACTCTCCTGTAAGGTCATTTGTCTTCTGCTTAATCGTTTGCTGGAACTCTTCTATATTTGCCTTTTATAGGTTGGAGAAATATTCTAGCAGTTTTTCCAACTTGATTGTTACAGGACCCTGCCAAATTTTTGCCAAGGCTGTGATTTATGCAGCCATTTTTAAATGGGTGCCAGCGCCTTGCGCAGCTCAGCCTGGCGTTGTGAAATCGGAGTAAACCCCGGGTGAATCGGAGTGTCCTGGCTGTGGCCCCTCCAGGGCCACCCCAAGCCTGGTGTTGGGAAGACCTGGGTTTTCCTTTGCACCTTGTGTCCCCTGAATGACCCCTACCGCATCTCCCCGCACCCCAGGCTGACCCCTGGCCTGTTTGACCTGGGCCGCACCGTCCTCTGCCTCGACTTCATGGTCTTCACGCTACGTCTGCTGCACATCTTCACAGTCAACAAACAGCTGGGGCCCAAGATCGTCATCGTGAACAAGATGGTGAGGGGGCGGGGCCGGGTGGGCGGGGCCAGAGGGGGAAGGGGCGGGGTGTGCGTGCGCAGGCAGGGTGGAGGCGGGGCTTCGCCAGGTGGGGCGGGGCCAAGCCCGGTCACCTCTTCCTCCCCCACAGATGAAGGACGTGTTCTTCTTCCTCTTCTTCCTCGGCGTGTGGCTGGTTGCCTACGGGGTGGCCACGGAGGGGCTCCTTAGGCCCCGGGATCGTGACCTCCCGAATGTCCTGCGCCGCGTCTTCTACCGGCCCTACCTGCAGATCTTTGGGCAGATCCCCCAGGAGGACATGGATGGTATGGAGGGATGAGGGCTTGAGGCCCTCACTCGGAGCCCCTGTCCCTGGGTCTCTGTACCCCTCCCTTTTAAGTCTCTGTCTGTGAGTACCCCTGCTCCCCTTCATCTCTGTGGGCCTCTGTCCACCTCTCTCTCCGAGTCTCCGTCCCCTGCCTCTGGGTCTCTGCCCCTCCTCTGTCTCTTTAGGTTTCTGACCCTCGCTCTCTCCCTGGGATTGTCTCCCTCTCTCTGGGTATCTGCCTCCCTGGCCCCATCTCTGAGTGTCTCCCTTTACAGTGGCCCTCATGGAGCATGCCAACTGCTCAGCAGAGCAGGGCTTCTGGGCACGGCCGGCGGGGGTCCTGGCAGGCTCGTGTATCTCGCTCTATGCCAACTGGCTGGTGGTTCTCCTCCTCATCATTTTCCTGCTCGTGGCCAACATCCTGCTGCTCAATTTGCTCATCGCCATGTTCAGGTGAGGCCTGATCCCACCTCACCCAGCATGACCCTTGACCCCATAATGATTCTTTTTTTTTTTTTTTTGAGGATTTTATTTATGTATTCATGAGAGACTCACAAAAAGAGAGAGGCAGAGATACAGGCAGAGGGAGAAGCAGGCTCCAGGCAGGGAACCCGATGTGGGACTCGATCCCTGGACTTCAGGATCAGAGAAGGCAGGCGCTAAACCACTGAGCCACCCAGGGATCCCCTCCACAATGATTCCTGATCCCAGCCTAATCAATTCTTTCTTTAGTCCCAGAATTCAGACTCTGCTCCTGACCTGGACTGTGGACTCCCTATCTTCTCCCCGAGCCCAGGCTCAACATTACAAAAAATTTTATTGTGGCAAAATATATAGAACATAAAATTTGCCATTTTTAAGTGTACAGATTCAAAGGTGTTAAGTTCATGATGTTTTACAACCATTACCACTATGTATTTCCAAAAATTTTTATCACGAACTTATACGAACACAGTGTGTATCCATTAAGCAAGCACTAACTTCCCATTCTCCACTATCCCCAGCTCCTGGTAACCTTGAATTTACTTGCTATCTTTAGGAATTTGCTGTCTAGAGGTTTCATAGAAGTGGAATCATACAATATTTAAAATTTTCTGTCTGACTTATTTCACCTAACATAATGTTTTCAGTGTTCACTCGTGTTGTAGTATGGACTGTGCTCTATTTTTTTATGGCTGAATAATATTCCATTGTATCAGCCAATCACATCCATTCATCTGTTCATGGAAACTCGGGTCATTTCCATCCCTTGGCTTTTGTGACTAATGCTGCAATGAACATTAGGTCTCATGGACCTGCTTGGGTCTCCGTTTTTATTTCTTCTGGATTTACATCTAAAGTAGAAGCTGGGTATGCTGCAATAATTGTTTAGCCTTTTGAAACCAAACTCTTTTCTACAGTAGCCACACCATTTTCTGTTCTTGTTAACGATGTATGAGAGTTCCAATTTCTCAACAGCCTTTTCCAAGAGTTGGTTTTTTTTTCCTTTTCAAAAAATTGTAGCCATTCTAGTTAGGGAGTATGAACTGGTATTTCATTGTGGTTTTGATTTGCATTTCCCTAATGACTAATGGTGTTGAGCATCTTTCCATGTGTTTATTGGCCATTTGCACATCTTTGGAGAAATGTTTATTCAGGTCTTTTGCCTGTCTTTAAACTGGGTTGTTTGTCTCTTTGTTATAGCAGTTCTTTATATATTTTGGATATTAAACTCCTATCAGATATATGATTTGCAAATATTTTCTCCCATTCTGTTGGTTATCTTTTCCTGTTCTTGAAAATCTTCTTTGATGTACAAAAGTTTTAAATTTTTAAATATTTGTAGTATTGGTGTTATATCTAAGGACCCATCACCAAATTCAAGGTCATAAAGATTTACTCCTGTGTTTTATAGTTTTAGCTCTTTTTTTTAAAATTTATTTTTAAAAATTATTATTTTTTTAGGTTTAGCTCTTACATTCAAGTTGTTGTCTGTTTTGAATTAATTTTTTAAAAGATTTTATTTATTTATTCATGAGACAGAGAGACAGAGAGAGAGAGAGAGAGGCAGAGACATAGGCAGAGAGAGAAGCAGGCTCCATGCAGGGAGCCTGATGTGGGACTCGATCCCGGAACTCCAGGATCACACTCTGGTCTGAAGGCAGGCATTAAACCCCTGAGCGACCCAGGTGTCCCTTGACTTACTTTTGTATATGGTGTGAGGTAGGGGTCCAACTTCATTCTTTTTGCATGTAGAGATCCATTTGTTCCAGGTCTTTGCATTTAAGATATTTTTGCCCCATTTGAATGGACTTGTCACCCTTGTTAAAAATCAGTTGGACATTGTATTAATTTCCTGGGGCTTCTCTAACAAAGTACCAACAATTGAGTGGTTTTAAATAACAAGAAAACTTTCCACAACAGTTCTGGATGCTGTAAGTTCAAAATCAAGGTATGGATAAGGTTGGTTCCTTCTAAGGGCTGTGAAGGAGCGTCTGTTCACTGACTCTCTCCTACCTTCTGGTGGATTGCTGGCAGTCTTTGGCTTAAAGATGTAGCATTGCAATCTCTGCCTTCATCTTCCTATGATGTTCTCTCTGTGTGCATGTCTGTGTCCAAATTTCCCCTTTTCATAAGAACACCAGCCATGTTAGATTAGGGACCAGACCTAATGACCTCATTTTAACTTACCTTTGTAAAGACTCCACTTCCAAATAAGTCACGTTCTTAGATCTAGGCATTAGGATATCAACATATCTCGTGTAGTGGAAAGGGGACACAGTATAACCCAAAATACTTATAGATATATAGGTTTATTTCTGGACTCATTTCTATTCCATTGGTCGATATGTCTATCATATGCCAGTACCACACAGTTTTGATTTTGTAGCAAATTTTCAAATTAGGAAGTGTGAGTCTTCCAACTTTGTTCTTTTTCAAGGTTGCTTTAGCTATTCAGAGCCTCTTGCAATCACATATGAATTTGAGGATTGGCTTTACTTTTCTGCAAAAAAGGCTGTTGGAATTTTGATAAGAATTATGTTGAATTTGTAGATTGCTTTGGGTAGTTTTGTGATATCAAATATCAAATCTTTGTACTCATGAACGCATGTTGTCTTTCCACTTATTTAGGTGCTATTTTATTTTATTTATTTTTAAAAAGATTTTATTTATTCATGTGAGACACAGAGACAGAGGCAGAGACACAGGCAGAGAGAGAAGCAGGCTCCATGCAGGGATCCCGATGTTGAACTCGATCCCGGGACTCCAGGATCACGCCCAGGGCTGAAGGGAGGCACTCAACTCCTGAGCCACCCAGGCATCCCTTAGGTGCTGTTTTAAATTTCTTTCAGTATTGTTTTGTAATTTTCAGTGTGAAAGTCTTCCACCTTGGTTAAATTTATTCCCAGATGCTTTATACTTTTAGATTCTATTGTAAATGAAATTGCTTCCTTAATTTCCTTTTTGGATTGTTCATTGCAAGTATATAGAAACACAGCTGATGTTTAGTTGGTGATCCTCTACCCTGTAACTTTGCTGAATTTGCCTATTAGCTCTAGTAGCTTTCTTGTGATTCTCTGAGATTTTTGATATATAGGATCATGTCATTTGTGAATGGAAATAGTTTTATATCTTCCTTTCCAATTTGGATGCCTTTTATTTATTTTTCTTGTTTAACTGCTCTGGCTATAACTTTCAGTACGATGAGGAGTAGCTGTGGTGAGAGTGGGCATCCTTGTCATGTTCCTTATTTTAGCAAGAAGATGTCAATCTTTCTTCATTGAGTATGATGTTAGCTGTAGGTTTTTCATAAGTACTCATTACCATGTAGAGGAATTTTCCTTTTAATCTTATTTTTCTGAGTTAAAAAAAAAATTTACCATGAAAGGATGTTGTACTTTGTCAAATCCCTTCTGTGTCTCTGTCACTTGATCTGATCATGTGGGTTTTTTCCCTTTCTTCTATTAAGGTGATGTATTATATTGATTTTTGTATGTTAAATCATCTTTGCAGTATTGGGATAAATCCCACTTGATCATGGTGTATAATCCTTTTAATATGCTGCTGAATTAGGTTTGTTAGTATTTTGTTGAGGATATTTGCAGGTATATTCATAAAAAATATTGGTCTGTAATTTTGTTTCCTTGTGATATCTTTATCAAGGTTGGGAATGCTGCTGGCTTCATAGAATGAGTACTCTGTACAGAGTACTCTGTACTCTCTTCTCTTCTTCAGTTTTTTTTTTTTTTTTTTTTTGAGAAAGATTTTTTTTTTTTTAATATTTCATAAAATTCCCCAGCAAAAACTTCTGGACCTGAGCTTTTTGTTGTTGGGACATCTTTGATGAGTGATTCGATCTCTTTGCTTGTTATAGGTCTTTTGAGATTTTCTGTATCTTCTTGAGTCAGGTAATTTGTGTGTTTCTAGGAAATTTGTCCATTTATTTCATTTAGGTTATCTAATTTGTTGGCATACAATTGTAGTGGTGTCTTTTATAATCCTTTTTATTTCTGTAAAATTGGTAGTAATGTCTCCATTTTCATTTCTGATTTTAGCTATTTGTGTTCAGCTGATTTTTGAATCTGTCTACAACCTTCACCCTAATTGGTGACACCATCCCCAACTTGACCTCTGACACCTATCTTCCTAACCCAGCCTCTAAGTGTATGTTATATGTAATATATACCTGTAATACCTAATACCTGTAATACTGCTGACTTTATTGATACTGACCTCTGCCTGCTGCCTTAGACTTCAAACGTGTTGTTTAATATCTAACCTTGATCTGCCCTCGATGACCTCTGATGACCCTTGACTTCTCCACGCCAGCTACACCTTCGGCAAAGTACAGGGAAACAGTGACCTCTACTGGAAGGCACAGCGCTACAGCCTCATCCGGGAATTTCACTCTCGGCCTGCACTGGCCCCGCCCCTTATCATCATCTCGCACGTGCGCCTCCTCATCCGGCAACTACGCAGGCGCCGGTCCCGCTTGCCGCCCTCCCCTGTCTTCGAACATTTTCGTGAGAGCGGGGTTTGATGCAACAGGGAAAAGCACAGGGGACCGTGGCAGAAAGAAAAGGATGGACAGGCTGGGGGTGATGTGCAGGAGCACCAGTGGGCAGAGGTTAGGCGGTCGGGGGGCGGGTGTGAAGCGAAGGGGCGTGGCCAGGGAGGGCTGGCGCCGCAGGCTTTTCGTGGGGAGGCTGAGTGGAGGAGGGGCGACTTTTGACTCTGTCCTGACCCTGCCCGCCAGGGGTCTACCTCACGAAGGAAGCAGAGCGGAGGTTGCTGACCTGGGAATCGGTGCAGAAGGAGAATTTCCTGCTGGCGCGCGCGCGGGACAAGCGGGAGAGCGACTCGGAACGCCTGAAGCGCACCTCGCAAAAGTGAGGGCGGGGCCTGGCTGGGGGCGGGGCTTCCGGCCTGGAGCGTATCCCGTTGGAGCCTGAGTGGGAGGGGCCCGGGGGGCTGGGGAGGAAGGTGGGCCTCCAGGGGGCGGGGCTTCCGAAGGGGGCGGGGCCAACAGGTCTGGACCGGGCCTGACGCCCCGGTTGCCGGTTGCGGTGGGTTGCAGGGTGGACACAGCCCTGAAGCAGTTAAGACAGATCCGCGAGTATGAGCAGCGTCTGAAAGGGCTGGAGCAGGAGGTGAGGACTCCCAGACTGGGCTGGGGCAGTGTGGCCGGGTGGGGTTCCGGTCTCCTGTCCTTACGCCGCCCCCTGCTCCCCAGGTCCAGCACTGTAGCCAGGTCCTAGGCTGGGTGGCCGACGCCCTGAGCCGCTCAGCGCTGCTGCCCCCAGGGGGCCCGCCGCCTCCAGCCCCGTCTGGGCCCAAAGGTCAGTATTGTGGGGTCCACCTCTGTCTCTCCCTGGCCTCTGTCACCACCACCCTAAGTTCTGGGCCCTCTGTTCCTCTCTTTCTGAGTGCTTTTCTCTCTTTTGCCGCACTTCCAGTGTCCCTGGGTCACTGACTCCGTTTTCTTTGGGCTTTTCATGTTTCCTTCTCCTTCTGTCTGCAGGTCTTCCATTTTTTCTATTCTCTCCATCCCCGCCACTTGTTCTCTCTTCTCTCTTCCCCCTAGACTGAGCCCTGCTGGCGGTCTTCACGGAGTAGCCCCCATAGGGAGATTTTGCTCCCAAAGTCCTTGCAGGTCCTTGGCCCTTGCACCTCGTGGCCTTGTCTTTCACATGGGCCCCATGCTCATGGAGGACACCTGGGCCGCCAACAGGACCACTTCATGGAGTGTCGTCCATGCGAACCACTTGCAGGCCCATCCCCTCCCCCCCGGTAACCAGTCCCCACTCTGGGAGGATCAGCCTCTGGAGCCGGATTTGCCCTTCTGAGGGCCTTGCCACAGCCCGCTGGGCGGGAGAAGGCTGCAGAGTTCCCGGATATAGGGATCACAGATCCCACTTGCAGCTCCCCACACTGGGGAAATAAAGCCATTTGAGAGGAATGGAGTCCAATGCTTGATTCTTGGGGAAATGGTAGATCCAGATCTTTTTGAGATGGGGGGGCTGGGTCTGGGTACGGGGTCATTGATCTGCTTGTTACCGTATTTGAGATAATCTCCAGGTCTGTTCCCCACTCCCCGGCCCCCGCTGCCTGTCTCACTCAGGCCCAACATCTCTTGTGTGCACTATTTTGATGGTTCTCACTTCAGTGGGACAGAAACCCCAACTGTCTGCAACCCCCCACCCTAGTTTCTACTTTCCGGTGGAGAAAGAACTCAGTAATAATAAGCAAATTATTTCCTGGAGTGGGGGTGGTTGGGAGCTATGTACATCTGCTTTGGCAAGAGGGGAACAGATGATGCAAATTTGAGTAGATAACTGCAGAAATGTCTTTAAAGAGTCTAATTAGTGGGAAATTGCAGGCCACGCGCACATGGAATTGAGGCAAATATGCATCATTATACATGCAGTTTAACTAAACAACCCATAACAAAGTAAACTGGTAATGACAAGACTGAACTGACAGCAGTTATTAGTTAAATAGCAGGAAAACCACCAACAACCATCACATCCAAAAATCAAAACCAAAACATCCTTCCTCCAAATTGGAGGAATTCCAACTATCTGCCATTTTGGGTGCGGAGTAGCTTTGAAATATTGCCAAGTGTTGTGTGGCAACCAGATTTCTCTGGAAGATGCTGAATTAATTCTCCCCAAACCAAGTCGTAATATCAATGACAGTGGTAATATTAATACAATACTGCTTGACATTTAGAAATTTCTAATTTCTTACTGCTAGAATACAGAAATATTGCTGATTTGTTTATTGACATATTCTGTGACTTTGCTAAACTTTCTTAGTTGTAGTTTAATTTTTGCAGTCTTTGGGATTTTCCCTGGATATAGTCAAGCTGTTTGTAAGTAGAGGCAATTTTATTTTATTTCCAATTTGGTTTTTTTCTTCTTTTATCATGGTTAAATAAATAATACAAAATTTACCATTTTAATCTGTTTGAAGCATGCAACTCAGTAGCACTTAGTACTTTGACAAAGTTGTGAGTGATTACCACTATCTCAGTCCAGAAATGCTCATCACTCCAAACAGAAACCTTGTACCATTAAGAACTCACTGAGCATTCTTCTCTTCCCCCAGCCCTGGCCACCACCATTCTGCTCTCGAACTCTATGGATTTCCCTATTCTGGATATTTCCTATAAATGGAATCATCACACATCTGGTCCCTTGTGTTTTGACTTCTTTCACTTAGCACAATGTTTTCAAGTTTTCTCCATGTTGAAGCAGAGCTTCATTCCTGCCTGCGGCTGAATAATAGAAGTATGCATATATCACTTTTGTTTTATCCATCCATCTGTTGATGGACGTTTGTGTGGCTTTCCTGTAATTGTGAATAATGCTATGAACGTTCATGTACAAGTTTTTATTTGAACACGATTTTCAGTTCTTTTGGGTTTAGACCTAGAGTGGAATTTGATATTTCTATGATTAACTTTTTGGGGAACTGTCAAACTGATTTTCATAATGGCTGCAACATTTCATATTCCCCGCAGCGACGCAGGAGTTTCCAGTTTCTTTAACACCAACCCTTGTTACTTCGCATTCTCTTTGGTTATCGATATCCTGGTGGGTGTAAAGTTGTGTGCCTGTCGGTTTGATTTACATTTCCCTAATGACTGAAGACATTGAGCTGCTTTTCTTGTGCTTGTCGGCCATTTGTATATCTTGGGAAGGAATGCTGTGTTAGCAATGACCTCCACTCAATCACATCTAACTAGGGATGAGTGGGCCTTGAATGAAGACAAAAATGAAGGCCCTGCTGCCCAAGTCATCATCTGAGGACTACCTGGGCTCAAATAGACATCTCAGAGTTTAGAAAAAACAAATGGTTGTCCTGAAGCTTCTAACTATTAAGGAAGTAGATCCAATAAGGATCAGCCTTTATGGCTCTTGTATATCTCACAGGTGGGAAATTTTGCTGCAGCTGATGCGTCATGACTCACATATGTTAGACTCCTTGGTCTGTGTTCTCCAAGTAGGAAAACGCACCTGAATTCAACTGATAAAGCACACAGTGGGGAAAAGGAAGCCGAAGTGACCCCGTTGGGTAGGGGGCCTAGGGCCAACTCAACGGGCTGTTTTGGCTTCTACTATTAAAGGTATAATTGCCGTTTTGTATGTCCATACTGTGACTGTCCCATAAGTGTCAGAGGGTTCTCCTGTCCAGACACGGGCATGTGTGGTCATCTCCAGGAGACAGAAACGACAGAATCCCAAAAAGAAAGGGGAAATCACAGTTTTAGAGACTTCAGGGCTGCAGCAGCCCCAGGGAGGCCATTTCTCAGTACAACGGCGCCACCTGCTGACACAACCGCCATGAACACACCTTTTAAGAAAAGGCAGCTATTAATTTGCTGTTAAGTTCTTGAAAGAGGAGGCCCCACCCATGGAGGCATCCTGATCCTCTAGCCTTACATTTTCATTTTGGGCTAAGTCAAGTTGAACTTGACAACCAGCAAGGTTTGAAATGGTTAAATATAAATGATATATTCAAAAGCACAGCGACACTGGTACTGTTGGCAGTAACCTCACTGGCAGGAACTACCCCTCCACCACCTGAAGCAAAGCCACTGGCTTCATGGGCCCTCAATTTACAAAGGTTCCCATAAGCGCCTGGGCCTCGTTCGCTGCTGGGTGGGCTAAGTTAAAGGCTTGTGGTATCCACTGTGGTGCGGCAGCCACCCAACCCCAAAGCCAACCCTGAAAGACAGATCGAAGTTTATAGTTAAGGTATTGGATGGGACTCTGTTTCCCCTACTCTCCATCTGGTATTACTGATTGTCGGAACAGTTCCCTTAAAAATCCATTCGGAATATATTTCTGACTACCTTTCTCATGTCATGGTCCACACATCTTAGGCACGTGGTTTGGTCATTGAATGTGGGTATCCCAGAGAGGCTTCATCTCTTCCAGGCCTCCTGGATAATGACTGAGGCCAAAGGGGTGAGGGATTTGTTTCATTTGTTTTGAAAATGAAGGATTCTAGCCCCTGGTCATTCTTGGGTCATTTTTCTTTCTTTCTGCTGGACTGCCTGGAGTTTACACTCCCTTGGGTGGCAGCCTCACCCAAAGTGGGCCAACTAGGGAGTTCAAACAAAATTCTGCTTTAGCCACCAGGATTTTCTTGTTGGCCTGAGATGGCCCTAGATCAGGGGTTGCCAAATTATGACCTGTGGGATATTCTGGCCCTTGAGCTAAGAATTATTTTTACATCTTTAAAGAGCTATAAAGAAAACAAATAACAAAAAAAAAAGGAAAAAAGAAAAAAAGCAAATAACAAAGAATATACAATAGAGACCATATGTCCTGCAAAGCCAAAAATATTTACTATCTGGTCCTTTAAAGGAAAAGTTTGCTGACTCCTGTCTAAGCTGCAATACTTGCTAATACTACCCATGTGGCTTAACTAAGCCAATGTGATGGCCAACCAGATCAAAGCTAACAACAAAACCCCTCACCATGCTGCAGGACCTCATTGCAGGGGGGCTAGAGTCTTCCACTCCACATTCACCAAAACCACCAACCTCCCTACACATAGGTCACATCAAATGTCCTTGCTTCCGCCCCCACCCCATAAGGTTGTGGAAGCAACTTAGATCGGGGAACATAGGACATGCCAAGATCCTGACCTCAGGGGTCAAGAAATGGATACCTTGGTATGGAAATGAAAAAGCAAAGGATCCCAGACTAGGAACCAGAAGACCTCAATTCTGTTTCCACCTTGGTCCCTGAGTGGTTATTTGCTCTCAGAGCAGTTCTGTCTTTCCTCAGAGCCTCCTGCAGTATCCACTCCCTGGAAGAAGAGGTGGGCGAAGGAGCCCAGGAAAGGGTCTGTCTGTTGCCTTGCCTAAGTGTTAACAAAAGCATGGGGGCTTCTTATGGCACCTGAGACAGGGTCCTCCCTGCCAGGACTCCCCATCCCCCAACCTCACACACACACAGAATGACCTTGGAGCTAGAGCCCTATGTGATTTAAGATGTATCATCTCCACTGGTTTTTAGCTGACCCCACCAGACTCTTGGCATACCCAGTTTGTAGTGGCCCATCCTGACTCTGTGAGGGGGAAGAGACACAGAAGTGAGGGTGAGGATGGGAGGTGGGGCCAGGGCTTCTCCCTGCAGCTCGTTTCCTGAGCCATGTCATCCCAGATCCAGGGTCCCTGGAGAGCAAGGTGGAGGCAGGAAGCCAGGAGGTGGGAAAGCCCTGTGAGTTTCTGCCTCTGCCCTTTTTAGGGCTCTCCAGATTGGGTTGTAGAAACCGTTACACTGGGGATACAGGATGAAAAATTTAGAATTTCTACTTATATTTACTTTTTTAACTGAAATAAGCAAAACAAATTAAGCTTTCCCAATATTAAATCTATAGAACGACATTAGTTCACAAGTAGATTTTCTACATATGTTGGGAATATTTTCTCAAAGAATTGTCACTGATAAGGGAGTGTGATAAGGAATGCTTAGAGACCTCTGAGGTAAATAAAAGGTATGAATGGGCAGGCAGAGATATCTGAGAGGTGATTTGGAAACAGAGTGGGGTAGTGATGGGAACTGGCATTGAACCTCATGGTCCTGATCTTTGGATATGGGGAGTTGCCCAGAAGGCCACTAAGAAGTGTGGCATTTAGAAGGTGCCTCCACCTCCTGAGTTGCCTTAACTCCATTTGATGTTTGAAGAGGCAGGGTGGTGTTACCTATTCACACAGACAGTGCTAAGTTCTCTAAGACTCCTTGGTCCTGACCCCATAGAAACCAAGTAACCTACTCCCAATGCCCAAGTGGGTGATCAACTCTACGCCAAGTAGGAATTAAGCATGATGGCTAGAGAGGACCTACCTGCCAGGTGCTGTCCGAGGCACACTCCCCTCTTGGTAGGAGTAGTGAGATAATTATGAGACATTTAGTTTGGTCACCAAACCAAGTTCTATTTAAGG